ATCCATGTGTCTCCAAAAAAGCAGGAGTTGCATATTATATGTGTCATCGTTCAGGTAACACCATTTTTAGGAAGGAATCAGAAAGGAAAAGAAGATCAAAAGTTCAAGGCAGTGTTAAAATCAATGCATACTGCCCAGCTAAGATGTGGACTGAATTTAAACCTAATGGAACAGTACGAGTTGCATATTGTTCAACTCATGTTGGTCATAAATGCGAAGCGTATTATACAAGATTGACTGATGAAGAGAGAACAATGTTAGCATCAAAGATTGCTTCAAACATACCTTATGATGTTATTTTAGATGAAATCAGAAATAGTGCTGAAAGTAGTAATAATATATCAAGAATGCACCTCTTAACTAAAGAGAACCTTCAAAAGTTTACTAATTCATCTTTTTATAAAAGGTTTGTCAAAACACAACTACCAGAGTCATTGTCTTCCAAAGATGGTCAAACGTCCAAAGTTGAGGGTCCTTCCAGTGATCCTGTAGAAGAATTTGAAATCCAAGAAATACAACCCTTTGATTTGTCCTACGAACCCATCAAAAGGTTTGTTCAACCCCCTGTTAAAACTATCAGTGAAGTACAATCATCTGATTTACTCAGCAGATGTGATACTGGTGATGATTCAGATGTTGGGGATGTCCAATCAGATGAAACTTTTAACAAGGCAAATCAAAGCTCCATTAGAACACATCAGCAATTACAAAAGAGTCCGAGTCCAACGTCGCCTCTTAGTGAAGAGTCGCAAGACTTAACTGCATCTTTCAACCAAATACACGAATCTATTGTTGCTGAAAAGAAAAAATTGCTTATTAAACAATTTTGTACAAAAGTATCAGAATTAAAAAGCACAGCAGAGATAAAATGGGTTGAAAGACAATTAAATCGTATGTTTATTTATTTACAATTACAATCAGTGGAAGAAAGTAGGCCTACTCAAAGTGAAAATGTAAATATGTCTAACAGACGTGAAGGTCAACCAAAGTCTAACTCTGTGTCAAGTGATATTTTTGTAAAGGCCAAGTCTCCAACCAAACCATCAACCTCTTCATCTGCAAGATCTCAACCGTTTTCATCAACCCCTCAAAAGACATTAAAAAAATCATGCACGCTAAGCAGTTCTTCCAAAGTCCTGAAATCTGCAAACAAAATGCCCATTGTGCCTTCTATTCAACCAATTGATGTTGGAATAAGCAAAAATTTGAAGCGTACCAGTGAATCACAGACTGTAGATACCCAAGCTAAACGATATTTAATTCCTCTCTCTGGTAAGCCGAATATGTATTTAGTTGTCAAGCCAAATCTGAACAAATCCTCAATGTTTGAACCATTGACCAATGTTATTCCTCAGGAAACCTCAGATCCAACGGGTAAAGTGAATGTTGATCATAACTACTCATCAGTGGAACAATAACCAAAACAGTAGAGCCTCGATAATTTGTCCCTATAAACTGGATCAATCCAATACCTAGCTAAAAGAAATTGTGGGCCTAGGCCCAAGTTTGTGTACCATATGCTATTTCAATGTAGGCTAAGTAAAACATAACTATATAACCTAGAGATCCGCTATAAAACAATACATTAAGCTACCTATTTACTAATCAAGGCTCTATTGTTCTACAGTTATGTTTTCAATTTTCTTAAGATGTAGAAAGTATATTATTATTCAGCATATTTATTTATAAAATTAAAATAATAGCCAAAATTCACTGCAATGCGGCAGAATGTTTAGTACATTTTTCTTTTATTTATAGTCTATCTTTTGCTTTTCTACACTTGTTGTATGGTTTAATTTTTATGCTAAGATCAAATCCTATTTGTTTAAAGTAAATCCAGGCTAAAAAATGTTTTTCAGTTGCTATAGGCCTAACATTATTTAAGTAGCCTACCTTTTTTTAGTTGTTTTGTTTTAGATACCGGTATGTACTCAAAATTATTGTCAAACAGCCAAAAATGGCTTGTAAAGAATTTCTTCTTTGATACAGTTAATCCTAGACTTATCATTTTATTGGTTTATTTTAAAAGAATACTAAAACAAAACTACATTTTTTGTGTCAACTTGTAAATAATGTAAATTTGTTTTCTCAATAAATGAATAAGTATTTTTTATCAATCACAAGGCAATTTTAATGATTTACCTAATAATTTACAAAATCGTGTACTTACTTTAGGCTGTGTTTATTGTACGAGATAGAAATACAAATCATCTAGCTAGGCCAATCAATGTCCTTCACTACATGACTCAGTGGGTCTTGACAAAAAACATAGAATGATCAGGCTTTTTTATGCCTATTTCTTAATAACTGCACTCTATAGTTATTTGTGTGAGTAGTGTGCAAAGGGGAACTTTAACTTTGCTGCACACAAGAGATATGTTTAGGCTAGGCACGAGCCACAGGCAAGTGTGGAAAGTTTCTCGAGTACAGAAAAGGAACTTTGCGCTCGAGTTAGGTTTATATTTCTCCTAGGTTTAGATTTGGTTGTTATATTTCTCCTACAGTTACTATAAAACATATAGCCTAAATAATTAGTCTTTCAAACACTAAACAACACTTTTTAGTTTAGGTTAAATCCAAGCGTTGGACGGTTAATTCCTTGTGTCAAAATTCAAAAGGCTGTGAAATGCTGCACCAGCTGATTGTAGTCGTAGATAGTAAGAAGTGTCGCCAACTTATTTCCAAACGCATACATATAACCTGCCTAATAAAAGCACACAGTTTTGTGTTGTTTGGTTGAAATACTGGAGTGCGGGAAAAACAAAATGAGTGTGGCAAAAGTAAGTAAATGCAGCAATTACTTACTACCTTGCGTGCTATAATCAGTGCAAGGAAGCCTGCTTTGTCAGGTAACAGCAGGGAAAATAGTTTTTGCCTATTGTTTATAATCTTAATCTAGATGCAATTAACATAGTGTATTTTTAATGATATTATTAAGATAATGACAGGAAAGCAGGCTTACCTTTAAATAAGCCCATAGAGACACATAAAATAAACCAACATCATCATTTAATGTGTTTCTATGGACTTATTTGAAGGTAAGCCTGCTTTCCTGCCATTAATAATTCCTGGCAAATGCCCTATCTTTTTATCAGATAAACTTGTATTTAATGATAACATTTTTAAAACCCATAAAAAACCACATATTCTTTATTGCTAAAAACGGGAAAGGAGGTTACTCTGTCTCAAAATGACACGGTAAAAAATTAATGAAAATTTCATCCAACTTGTTTGATGAATTCCTTTATTGAAATTACAAATCAGAACCACTGGTTTAACCAAAAGGTAGTGAACAATTACACTCTTGCATCAATATAAAAATTGGCTGGGTAGCCAAGCTTTTTGTGCTCCCCTTCAAATCTGAAGGTCGCTGGTTTGAGTCCAAGCTCAGACCACAGATGCCATTTTTCATTGGGCTATGATTTGATGATGCTTTCTAACAACAGGTCTAAGTTAGATAGTAACAAGACCAGGGTTAGGAACCGGTCCCTTTTAAAAAACGATAATAAATTCCTCTGAGGTAAAATAGACCCAATGAAAAAAATATGATCAGGTGTGACTGTCTGGGGGTTAAAAGGAGTCATGCTACTAATTATAATACTTTGGAATGGTTTTTCACCATTGTTGCAAAAGGTAGAGGACACATTTCATTTTACGTTATTTGCCTGTTTCAAAAAGGTATCTACAAAATTAAAGAAGTCTGTTATAAGAAGTTATTTGTTTTTAGTGGTTAGCTCTTCAAATCCAAAATATTAACTAGTGGGGCCTTCACACACGTATACATAGTATTTGGTGTCTAGTAAAACTATTTCAAATCAAAACAAAATAATTTATTTAGCCAGAATTAACAAAACAAGTTGCGTTAGCCAAATCAAATGATAAAACATGAATTTGCCTACATGATACAAATTAATTTGTTTTTATTTAGTTCTCATTTTCCCACAGATGTGCCTTTTAAGGGCTCATCAACAAAATACATACTCAGGGATTCAATGCCAGCTTTCAAAGTTCTCAATTTAACAAGACGGGGTTTAAGTTGGCAGTAGTTTAACCACCACTTTTTGTAATCCAAGAAAAATTGAAAGAGGGTTTGATATTGTTTATTTTTGATTTCTCCTAGGGAATAAGTAAGTATTACCTTGGGTCTGGTTTTTAAGACCTCGACCTTACCAACAATTTTTCGTTCAATTGTTCCCAGAGTCCAAAAGTGCTCTTTATTCAAATTCATTTGACTATTTTCATTTTGTATGAGTTAAGCCTCTGAATCAGTGATCAATATGTGTACTGGTGAAATTACCTGCTGTCAAGTGATCCTTGTAACCTTGACAGGCGACCGGTTTTTGACTATTTTTGTTATCGGATGATGAGTAATAGGCCTAATCGTCCGATTTTTATGAAACTTTATACAAACAATCTATCTTTTTTTTGAATGAGTTCCTGGACCAGCATGGTTGGACCATGGAAACTGGGTTGGATGGAGTAAAAATTAGTTTTTCGTCTTTATGCATAAAAAACAGTTTTTAATACAAGTTTTGTTAAGGGTCTAAAGTAGCTCTTTTAGTCCCTAGGGAGTAAAAGTCAGCTGCTGTAAACTTATTGTAAGCAGTCCCATAAATCGAAATCAGGTATCAATTGATTAAATCGGTTGTAGCTTATTGTTGCATTCTTGTCAATAGTTTGACATGTCAATACTACAATCATTGTAGGCCCTACACTATCACAATCGCAAACACTCATGACATAGGTTAGAATAAATATAGGACTACATTACATTATATGAACAAATTAAACCTTTATTAGTAGAAAAGGAATGTAAACAGTTAAAAACATTACTCATAAATTTGTTTATTATTTATGAATTTCACAGTGATTAACATGTTATCTTATCTATATGTACAATTATTTAATGAAAAATGCACACCTATAGTATAACAAACAACACATATAATACTAATGAAGCTTATAAAATCATACACAACATAAATTATGAAAAGTAGTAAATCTTTGTTGCTATAAAAACAAAAACACACAGTTAAATTATATTTAACTCAATTAAGAGAAACATTATATATTATTATTATTATCTATTATATTATTAAAGTGATACAATCAAATTTTATGTAAACGGTTAAGGCTATTTAACAAATAAAAATATAGGCATATGGCATATTAAAATGAAGCTTAGAGTGTGTAGATTTGCCGAAAAGTATTGATATGGACGAACTCCCTAAGGGCTCTGCCCCACAGGCTGATTTCCAAAGGGCTACGCCTTGCATGTTTTGGAAGTTAAACGTTATCCGATTAATTTAGTGAACAACAGCTGGCCATTGCAATTGACAATATAGTTTGTTTACATTTTTGTTTACTTATTTTATTATTTACTTTTATGTTCTTAAAATAGGTGCGGTGAATGGACAGTGAAGCTATCTCTAGCTGTTTGTTACAAGTGAGTGATTAAAAGTATTCGAAACACGATGAATATGAGATTTAAAAAAATCAAGTGTAGCGCCTGGTAGGTTTTCACGAAAAAAACTAATTTCACTGGTACTAGTTTACCTGTTGCTCGAATTCAAGCAATTGCGAAGCATTACAGGCGACTCACGAAGCTTATTGTCCAGGATTTCTCGTTTTTTTCCATTGTAATAATTTCACCAACCCAAGTTTCATCTACAGATGCAATACGCCAAAGAATATCACCTTCGTACAATCTCCAAGAAGTGGTAAAAAAAGGCAGAAACCAAGCCATACAATAGATATAAGTTAACTCCATAAGAAATAATTTTAAGAGTTACTGTGATATTAGGATTTTCCACTGATTTGGTAATAGAACATTAATTTGCAAAACATGAAACGATGCAGAATAAAATCGATTAAAAATCAGAAAAACCCATTGCAAATACTGTACTTCATTTTGAAAAATTCAATAAATCACAATTTAAATATTAACAGCTGTTTCATTAAAAATTAGTGTAGAATTATGCATATGGTAAACAAATTTAAAGAGGCAACTTTAAAGGCTTCTGGGGCAGAGCCCCAAGGGAATTTCCCTCGTTCCTCTTTTGATGGCTCATCTATAGACCAAGACCTTTATTTAGAGACCCCTACCAAGTTTCTACGCCCAGCCGTTCTCTCAAATTAGCTGGGACAAAAACCCAGTTTTTCCCCCATAAGAATAACATGGGATGGGAATTCAAAGGCCACTGGGGCAGAGCCCCAAGGGAATTTACCACGTTTCTCTTTTGATGGCTCATCTACAGACCAAGACCTTTCTTTAGACACCTCTACCGAGTTTCTACGCCCAGCCGTTCTCTCAATTTAGCTATGACAAAGAAAAACAGTTTCAAATTAATATAAATAGACCAATTGAATTATAAACAATAGCTTGTATTAATATTTTACGACAAAAAATAGAGCACAAATCATAATATTAACCCCAAAATAAAATAAACAAAATGTTGTCGACACTAGCGCTTGGTGGCGCCAACATGAACTAGACATAAAAAACAAGCCGATTTTACAATGGGATGAGAAGTCTACTTGTTTTAGTTAGTCTATGGTGTTAAAAAAAATCCTTAAACACAAACAAATAATGCATCTTGTTCAACTGCTGTTGGGCTGTAGCAAATTGAATATATGAAGGTCGGACATTTGAGGGATGAGGATTCAGTTCCAGTCACTAATTCTTCCAACACGAAAGGTGCATATTGCTGTGTTAAGTTTTAATTTTTATTAAAGAACATATCAGCCATTAATATTTTTAGTTTAGCATATTGTTTACAAAAACCGTCTCAAATTGTTTGACAACATAAGAAAAGGAATCAATGACTTCTATGGCTCATTTAAGACACACCAACTTAAAGTCTGACTTTAATATGGCAGAGGCAAATTAATACAAATCCATATTGTTCTTGTTTCGTCCAACTTGAACATTGCACAATATTTCCTATTATCTAGGAAAAACATAAATATAATGATTCCTATATATATGTTGTCATACACTATTACTGGACACTTTAAAGTTCTTGAAATATTTTTCTTCTTTTAGTTTCCAATGAAATTCGATTCACATATATTTAGAATTAATATATGTCTGTAATTTATAAATCAGACTTGATTTGTCAAGGATCCCAAATTAATGGGAAAAATCTGTGTTGTAGTCATGATAGTACAAAATAATCTTAAGTACTGATGAACGACAGATTTGTATTGATAAATTAATGTTCTCATAATATGATTTTATATAAATTAAAATTTAAAGACATTTTCAATCAAAGAGTTTTACAAGTTATACACAAAAGTGAGATTGTAACAAAACATCTCTTGCATAAAAGAAATAAGTCATATAAATTATAGATACACACAGGCATGGTGGCTAGTATTATTATATTACTGATGCACCAGTTGCTCAAATTCGAGCAATTGTAAAGTATTACATGCGTCGTTTCAAAACGAATAACAATCATAATTTCCGATGACTTAAAAGAGTCAACTCAAAGAAAATGTATAATCAATCACTCCACTACAGTTATCGAAACTGAAAACAAACTCATTCTGAAAATGGACGCTCTTGTATCATGTGTTTACTATGAACAGCTGTTGTAGTATGCAATAAATACAAATTATTTGTCTGTTTAAGTAAACAAAATCTTTTCTTCATAAGAACATTGGGATTTCAATGGCCTGTGGGGCAATGCCCGAGGACTTTTATTATATGAATTGGTGAAAGGTCTATTCAAAAAATACTTAATTTTGACACATAGTTTTTTTAAATCCGTCCATTATTAACAGAGGAGTAGTGTTTTGTAGAAATCGCCATCACGTATTATACAGGGTGGTAATAAAGTTTGAAGACAGTTAAATATTTTCCAAACGACAACAGATAAATCAAGATTTGGTACATCAACACCACACCTAAAAATCTACTTTTTTTAGGAAATATCAATTTTCTGTCATATCATGGGGACGTCCCGCAAGGAGTCGGAAGGTAATCTTAAATAGAAGCATACGTTGGCAGGTACATCAAATTAATGGTCTTTACTAGCAGAATATAATGCTGCAAATTTGAACTCAAACGGACAACCGAGCCAAGAATGACAGTTATTCGAAGATTCATTTAATTTGCAGTTTTATTATACGCTTACTCCTCAGGGGCACAGCACTAGGAATCGGAAGAAAATTGTTAACATAAGCGTAGGTCGATATGCACATCAAATTAAAGGTCTTCACAAGTAGATTACAATGCCATAAATTCAAGCTCAAAAGAACGCCTGAGTAAAAAATGGCAGTCGTTCAAAGATTCAAAATGGCAGATTCAAGAAATCTTTGAAAGGCTGCCATTTTGCGCAGGATCAACCTTTTGAAGTGCGGTTTGCGGCAACGTATTCTACTAAAAAAGGCCTTCCATTTGATGTGCATATTGACCTATGCTTCCATTTAAGATTTTCTTCCGACTCCTTGTGGGCCGTCCCCCTGAAGAGTTATTGGATCACTGAATATGTGTTAAAATGAAAAGTTTTATGCTCTGCTGTAACTTTGTACCAAGTATTGTAGCTCTATCTACATTATTTTTTAAAATATTTACAACTGTCTTCGGACTTTATTACTACCCTGTATATAAGGATTATATTTGTTTGTATCTCACATTTATTATATTTAGGTCAAACCCAGGTGATGATTAGGCCTATTATCGTTAACAATCAAAATCAACCGAAATTTCTACTAACCGTATTTAAAGCTAAGCTTAGTTTTTACCTGTGGTATTATATTTTACAGTGATTGGACTAAAATTATGACAAAGTTTTACAGAATCTGACTATAAAATGCCTTTCTTGTCATTGTCAGTTTTATGTTGTCATTCTTAATAAAAAAATAATAATTGTTTGGGTATAACTATAACCACATAGGTACTCATCCAAAACTGGAATCGTCTAAGACTCTGACAACATTTCCTCAATAGTTTTGTCGTCGTGCAGAGGGAAGTTGGACAAAGCTGTGTCACTCTCTAGAAACTCCCGGAGTTCTGACTCAAGATCAACTCCTACGCCTTCTTCTTCTGCTCCACTGCTCTCTTCCGAGGCTGATTTCTGTAAAAACAAAAAAATCTAAAATGTAGATCATGCATTGTAAGTTTGGGGATCTATTCTCATGTTTACGGGACTAAGCCACGTCTCTAGGGACTTACTCAGAGGCACTGATCTTAGATATCTAGAGGTTGCATTAGTTTAGAGTTTGACTTCTTCAAACAAGTCATTAGTTTGCAATGTGGGCTTATTCAGCTTAAAATCCACACTTAGACCTGTGTTGTTGTCTTAAATGAGTAACATAGATTAAATATACACCTTTAGTAGATTTGTCTTCCTTATGGATCAGCTGAAGACAATTTTATTATTAGTTCCGTCCGGTGCCGCTAGGAACGTGTTTTTGTTTACAATATGTTTCTTTCAGTTTCCGTTACTCGCTAGTTTAACAAAATAAAACAATCTTATCACAAACAATAACTCGTTTCTCATTATATAACCAAGTAGTAAAGCACAAATCATGAAATTAACCCTAAAATAATAGAAACAAAATTTCATCAACTCTAGCACCCAGTCTCCAACATAAACTAGACCTGAAAAAACAAGCTAATAATTTTACAATAGGATGAGAAGTCTACTTATTTGTTAGTCTACCTATTTGTCTAAGCTTAAGTTCTAACATACATACCTCCACTGTGGCTGGCAGTGATGGTGGCGGGGGTGAAGGACTGTGACAACGGGGGGCAGCTGAGCCCCTTGTCACAGGCGGGGGATCTGTGGCCGTACCTACACTGGCTGTGTCTGGGGCAATCCCCATAGCCTTCCGGATAGCAGGGATAGACACCACAGCTCCGGGGGGAACTTGCTTGGCTAATGCTGTTAGACTCTCGGTGATCTTCTCGGCTATGAAAAAAATGAACATTGGGTCATAGGGTTGTACAAAGATTTTGTATACCTGATAAATGTATTTTGATTATTATTGTTAGATGTTGATGTAGGCATACAATAATATCTCTTTGCTATACAGTTGGTTAGTGACCTGAACTCAATAGTATAATATTGGATAAAAAAATTAGAAATTTTCAAGAACACGTAATAACTATCTTTTACAGTTTGTAGGTAGAATAACATTGAATTGTTCAGTTTATAGCACAACCTCAAAGGTGCAGTAAAAAGTGAAAATCTTGATCTGTGGAGACCAGCCAATGACAACAATCAAGTGTGGTAATAGTATATTACAACTTTAAATATCTTTCACACTACACATCCAAAAATAAAATGAATCTTGGAAAAGACTATGGTAAAACATCCTTCAAACAAGAACTACTTTTCAAATACCCTTCATAAAATGCAATCCACTAGCTTGGAGTGAGATGCCTTGTGTAGGTTTGTTGCTGAATAAGATCAGCCATAACCACCACACCTCAGCCAGGACCTTATTATGAGAAGTCCAATGATCATGGACAGCATCCAAGTAAAAGACCAGAACTAAACCGGCTACGAGAAAATGAAAACGATTAACGGAAGAGCTATGTAACTGTATTGACACCTCTGAACTGATCTGTGGCCTAAATTCTGCCTTTTCCACAAAAGCCCGTGGCTTATGGGTGCATACAATCTAAATATGTCTTATTAAGTCTGTAACTACTAATTCGCTTATGGGGAAGTGAGGAGGTCTAGTGGAAGAGCATAGTACAACAGTCCCTGAGGTCTAGGCCAAGGCCTTGCCTGACGTAGTGTATAGAACAATTAGTGCTAGAGCCTTGCGACCTATGATGTGAAGGTGAAGGAAGGCCTTATCACAAGCCAGCATTACCTAGGTTGAGCTCAGTCTCCGTAGGCTGCATGATGTTGCCCAGATGCGTAGGGGGAGGAGCGCTGAGCCGATCATTCTGTGCTTGTTGTAACTTCTCCAACAGAGCCGACGTCTGGTCCAACCTCTCCTGCATTGCGTTATCCTCCTTGCCAGCCTTTTCTGAAAAAAACATTTATCTGGTTCTTTGTGATATTTTATTTAACACTAATTTTATCAGAAACTCCTAAAGAAAATGATTAGGATTTTTTTTATAAAAAAGTGAATTTTATTTTTTTTCTTTTAAGAGCTGTGTAAACATGTAAAAACAACAATTTGCTCAAACAAGGAGACATTGTCTAGATAGCACTCATGTGGTTTTAAAAATAAAAAAAAATAAAAATTAGCAACTAATGCTAAAAAAGTAAAAACAAAAGAAACTGCTTCAGAAATTAAAAAAAAAGTTGAAAATGAAATCTCTTGATTATTGCTATATAGACAATTTTAAAAATTTATAAAATAAAAAAAAGCATTTAATTGCAAAATAAATACATTTGAAAGCCCTAATTTGGGTAAAAATTACAGTAGAACCTTGATAATGAGACTCTCATGGGATTTATTAAATAAGATTTTTCATCAAGGTTGACTTCTTATCGAGCTTTGCAATATGTGATAAGAAGTCAAATAAATTCTAGGGGATTTAAAAACTACACTTGTTATCAAAGGGTGACTTGTTATCGAGAGTCTTGATATCGAAATTCCACTGTAAAGTAAATTTAAACTCATATTGAATTGACCCTCAATAACAAGTCGCCCTTGATAATAAGTGTAGTTTTTAAATCCCAAAGAATTTAATTTATTTGACTTCTTATCACATTGTCCAGATTGTTTTTTTGTCTTTTTTACTATGTTGTAAATGTACATCTTTCTGTATACCGTTCATGTACTCAAGTATATTGAATTGGTTTCATAGTATGTTGCTTTATCAACTGAGCCACTGACTATAGAGATTATGGATTGCATCAGAATAAAGTTTGGATTTTATCTTAGCAGCAAAAAATTAACTGTTGGACTTACCTAACTGGTCCAAGAATGAGGTGTCTATACCCAGGTCTGCCAGTGTTCGGAGTTGTGACACGTCCACCTTGACATCCCCTGCTGCGGGGGTGGCTGTGGCGGGGGTCATCAGCTGACGTACCCTCTCTTCTTCTTCTCTGAACTTCTTACGCTCCTCCAACACCTGAATCATAGCAGTTGGCATAATATAACCCTGCCTACCTAGTATAACTTCCTACAGTCGGGACCACGTAAGTTTGCAGTTGAGGGAGGAGCCTATTTACCATATGGTTTTGAATGAACCAATGAGAACCGAGTGGTGTTGCCAAATCTAATAATACCAGCTGATTTGGAAATATTGCTTAGTACATTTTAATTAGTGTTGTCAACGGGCGATGTCGCAACGTCGCACTAGCCTTGTCTTGTGATTGGCTGCCACTAACTGCAAACTTACGTGGTCCCGACTTTAGTCTTAACTATACAATTCTAAATGAAATTTCACTATCCGCATACCTCAAAATCAAAATAAAACAAACTATTAAACATAGAAACATTGTTAGAAGTACCTTTTTAGTCTTCCGGTGATCTCCCCCAGTCAGTAGATCTAGCAGGTTGTCTACCATCGTCAGAGTGTAGTCGCAGTCTTTGGCAAAGTTTAGGATACTGCAAAACAAACAATGTATATCACCTACAATTGAGAACATGTTTACCAGTATCCCGTTTTTTTTGCAAACCCTACCTACAATGGTGAATACTATTATTATTTCTAGCATTTTAGAAACACTTAGCCTAATCTCGTCAGATCAAATTTTAAGGAAGATTTTTAAGTGGTCGATTTAAGTTTTATCAAATTTGTTGATGTGGGCGTTATTAAACGTAATAGGATAAACAACAGTGTCACACCTTCAGTTCACCACAACAAATAAATAATAGCAATAAAAAAAACACGAGTAAAACATGGAAAAAGGCATATATATATTTTTTTTCCTAAGATAAAATAAATTGTTAAGAGCCCATATCGATAAATAAATAATTACTGTCAAATACGAATGTGTACATTTGTGGACACTTCTATTAGTAAACATTCTTAGCCGTTATATTTTTATTCCTGCAATTAATTAATTGTACAGATCCCATATTCACATTGGTACACAAAATAAAACAAAAAAATTATACAAAAGGTTTTCTTACCACAAACAAACTAGCTCTTATCATGGGCCCACTTTAAATACATTGGATGCAGAATATTTACCTCTCAGCGTACTGCACGGCCGTATCATCTCCGTACGTTTGAAACACAAGGTCGGACTCCTCCTTGGAGAGGTTAGCGAATGTCGAGTCGTAGGACGGAGCGTACGACCCAAAAGCTCCGTAATACAGAGGCTTCACTGTACATCAATCATATTGTTAATTAAAATTGAAAGAAGGTCTAGGAAAGGTTACATCACGCCAATATTAATATTATTTTAATAAAAACTACTGCCTAGATTCAGTAAACAGCTGATTTTTGTGGAGTCCTTATCCAAATATAAATGGACTACAACTGGGCGGAAAATTGATTTTAGGTTGTGTCTAAATAGAAGAAATGGGCCTCCTTAAGCTGTTAGGAATTGCTAAGAGGCTCATGAACGGAATTGAGGGATGTTTAAAATAGCTGATTCCCTATATGGGAAATTAGCTAAAAAGCAAAAGACTAACGTAGCCAGAGGGGGAAGCTATCCCAAAAACGTTTGTCAAACAAAACAAAACATTATTCATTCAACAGTTATTATAAAATTATGAAATATATATTTTTATATGCTCAAAATAGTGTATACTTAATTATTTGTATATTATCCTTACTATAATCTTATTAAATATATAATATTAATATTTAAAAAAATATAAAAATGTATTGATTCATATTTAATTATAAAGATACAAAAACTTTAAAATATGTAATTATATTATGGTCAAAAAATTTATATATATTTATTTGCATATTATACTTCCTATAATATTATTATATATGCATTATTAATATTAAAACAGTTATTAAAATGTATTCATTCATACATATTTATAATTGTTAGTATATATTTGCATATATTAAGGCAATTACGAAATCAAGTTTTTTTTGTCGACCTTGATCTCCAAAAACAAATTTTTGGCTATCATCAAGTTCTTTTTTAACACTATACAATCGACTTCGTAATCTTCTTAACGTATGCAATAATATACTTGTTGCACTCGTCTTGACGAGCACTATCATTTGTATAGGGTCCGGAAAGAATCTGGTGAAAGTCGAAAATTGGTTTTTTAGAGATCAAGGTCCACCGAAAAAAAAACGATTTCGTAATCTTCTTAACATATGCAATAATTTACTCGTTACACTCGTCTTGACGAGCGCTATCGATTGTGTAGGGTCTAATTTTATAATAAATAGTATTATTTGGGAAAGATGGCTACATGTCAAGTTTTAAGGCTTTAGTGGTGGATAGGTTGGTCAATGCCTTACTCAAATAAATAGTTGAAAGTAAAAGGATATAAAACACAGAATTTTAGGAACTATTGTCTCCATATTCATCTGCAGAGTGATGTAAAATTTACCTCTTCCGTCCATCATTAACAGTTAGATGTTTAAGGAACGGCTTTAGACCAGAATTATGATTTTTAACTTAGGAAAAGTCCAGGCAAGCCATATAAAGGCACACAAAACAAAAATTTTGATCCTTGCAAATTTTGTCAAGTGTAGAGAAAGAGAATTGCACAATATTTTTGTGTTCACTTTTGTCTTTCTAGACTTTTCCGAAGGTAAGTGGGGGAGCGAGCTGGTTTCGTGTTAGAGCGCAGGACTTCAGTCTATGAAGTCACATATCAAATCCCGCCAAATCACCGATGTGATTTATGTAAGTGATAATGCTACAACCCCTACGTCTAGCCTGAAGTATTGTGAAAAACAATCCCAGGCTAGAGCCTAACGTCTTAGAGAGAAAAAAAGGTAAGCCAGCTGATATCCCTTTATTCTATTCATTCTAACTAGATACAGTAACCCACCAGATTTGCTCATGTTCCTGCGGTCCTCTCGGAAGCCTTGCAGAGTGCCGCTGCCATGTTGTATCTTGCCCAGTAGCTGACCCAGACAGACGGGTCTCTCGTTGCTCTCCGGGTCCAGACCCTCTGTCGGCACCAGGATGGCCAGCGACGTGGTGCCGTCTCTCTGCGTGCGCAGGAATCCCATCTGTCACCACACACACAATGCTTGCATCCACCACAGCATCAAGCGTACAACACATGCTGTTAGCCTACAGCTCAGTCTGTATGTTTTTAGTCCAACCGATTGGATGTGAATTGAAAGTTACTTTAATTGAACGTGAAAATGAAGTACCTTACCCAACCTTAGCTGTTAGAACGTTTTTTTTTCAATCATAAATGAAAATGTAATGAGTGAATGTGAATGTGAGAATGAAAATTATAAGTATTTCTACATGAACATAAAAATTGTGTACCCAACCTAAATTAGTCTACTTGCTTTGAAGGAATCGTACGCTTTTTGAATGGGATATGAAAATGTGGTAGAAACCTAACCCAACCCAATTGAGAAATTGAATGTTTTTATTCCATTAAACATGCACATGTTGTAGGCATTTTAAGTCCAATAAAATCAAGACTTGTTGTTATCAAATAAACAAACACAGAAAAAAGGACCAATCAAAAAAGAACATAAAATCTTCTATTTTGAAAACTCTACTACCTCACGCACTACCTCAACTTTGAAGGCACATGTAGTAATTCAAGCTAATAACCGATTGTTTTAAAAAGCCAAGCAGTAAAATACAGTTAGACTTCAGTATAGGCTACTCATGCAAATTCAAGTTGATTAAGGGGTCAGTAAGAACGAGTTGGTATTATTGATTTTTATGTTTATTTTCTGCCTATAGAAGATTCTAATTGGTTTTCCTATGTATTGTTACTGAGCCTTTTGCTCTTTCAACTTTAAATCTGACCAAACTCAAGTTGTTACAATTATTTCCTACTTTAAAAGTATATCTTGCAATTAAGATGGCCTTTTGACTCCAAGTTTAAATTATTCTGTTTTTTTTTTCCATTTAAAAAACATTCAATGAAAATTCTTCAAGAGATCCAAAAAGGCAGAATTTAAAGCATTTACTGGTGTCTTGTATTTACCTTGGTGTTGACTTTCTTCAGATCAAGACGTTGCCTCACTTTTTGTGCAGCTTTACGAGTCTGTTCAAGAACTTCGTCAGGCGTAAGATCGTCAGGTATAGCCTCAAACTTGCTCCTGAAAATTGAAAAATGTACTGCAGCTGATGCGCATATGTTACATAGATTAAATTTGTTTTCCAGCGGAGAATTAATTATCAATTGTCTTCAAACATTAGAACTTCTGGAGAACCGATTTTAAAAGAAACGGTTTCAAAAGAGCATTTGCTCTAAATATAAATGGCACTTGGAAAATTTTCTCTTAAGGTCTTTGGGTGATTAGTAAGACTAGAGGCCGACGTTTTGGATGCGTAGCTAATCCATCTTCGAGGCAAACAACTATTCAACTGAATTAAAGATGTATCCAAACCATCGGCCTCGAGTCTTACTCATTCAAGAAAGCGGTCATCACCTAAGACCTACGATAACAACATTAATATTTGGATGTTTGATCTATATTGTTAACAACTTACTCAGGCACAAAGTTGGGCCCCCGTCGTGGGGGGTGAGCTGGTGGAGGTACGTTCTCCTCCTCCCCCGCCTCCCTCTCAGTGGGGGGGCTGTGACCTCCAGCAGGACCAAGGTCAAACCCAAGTGCTTCCTTCGGGATCTGTAGCATCCACGGCATTGTGACTGCCATAGACCTGAACAGAAAATTTTGTTTAAATTTAACCGCAAGGCTTCCATAGGGTCAATTCAGTTTCAAATCCTGGGCGTCTACAGTTTTTGCCCTAATAAATTGGTTAAAGGGGTTATTGGTTTAGGGACTTAACAATGAAATTTTTAGTGATACTTTACGAGTTAATGCAATAGCCTAATTATACTTAAATAGCTGGTTCAAGATACATTGTTGTCAGACAAAAGCCTTAGTAAGTTAATGTTAGTTGACTTAGCTCATCAGTCATCACATTAAAAGGAAAAAAGTTAACAGAACAAATTCCAGCTACCTCTAATCTTGCTTAGAATGCAAACAATAACAAATAGCCTATTTTAAGGTTACTAAAAAGTACTTCCTCAGCAAGTCATGAACATTGGGGACACAAAATAAATTGTAGAGTTTTCAGAACATCTGGGACCCAAATTAATTCTCAGGGACTTTTGTCAGGGATATCTGTATACACCCTAAACCAACTATTCTTCCTATTTTTTACATGATCAAATCAATGCAAAGCTACTCCAGGATTTTGAATTGTAAAAAAGGGAGGATAGCAGCTAGCTTACCTTGAAAGTGTAGGTAGGTCATAGAACACCTAGAAAATACACTGTGCACACAATATTTGGTCCCCTGAGGGACTTTGACAAGTGTAGAGGAAGACACAAAGTCAAGTGTAGAGGGACCCTCAGGGGACGAAATATTGTGTGCACAGTGTATCTTCTAGATGTTCTATGACCTACCTCCACTTTCAAGGTAAGCTAGCTGCCATCCTCCTTTTTGTACAATTCAAAATACTGGCCTAGATCCTTTCTTTGGACAAAACAAAACTACTCCAGTTAGTTTTATAAGCTCTTCATGTACCAAGACAACAACAAAATTAAATAGCTGTACAAACCAGTTAAAATAAACTACAATGACTAACCTGATCTTCTCCTCGCAGACAAATTTGAGTCCAGCATGCAGCAACCTCTTGGCAGCCTTATAGTAGATAGTCTCTGGGTGATTATAGATCATAGCGTTGCCACACATCTGTTTAAAATCATCCTGGAAAAAACAAAAAACAAAAATAGTATTAAAATCTATTGTAACAACTAAGTGTTTGGTAACCAAATTTTGTGTGTGTACAGTTGTATGACAATAACTTGTTGTGCTATCCTACAATATTTGAAAGGCTGTTGTTTGATCAGGAGCTCAGTTCCTGAGATGTGTTAAGTTGGAGTGGTTGAAGGATAGGGCCCCATTGTGGAATCTGGGTTTCCAGGTAAGTAATGGTTTTTAAAATAATTTTATTATGTTACTTTCAAAAATTAAGTTTTCATCTAAGTATCCAAGTGATAGCCTTATTTCCAAGCAGATCAACCTTTGTTTATCATCAAATGTGATGAAAACTAATACCTTTGTGTTCCAGTGTAAGTTTTTACGGGTAAGTTTTATTGTATTGAAAATACAATATTATTTGTATAGCTTTTCAATCCTCGGTATATATCAGAATTACAGTTGACTCTCAATTTAGAACACAAAACTAGACTTAACGTATACAACAGTATTACTGTAAATCATATAAATTAACCATAGATGCTCGACTGAGCTACGACTCCAACATGGAGTTAACACTTTTTGACTCACCACGTAGTCTTTCAAAGTGGCATAATTGTTATCCTCAATCTTCTGATGCATCGTGCTGAAGTCCATTGGCTGGTGTATAATTTGCGAGTATCCAGGGGCAATCTGATCCGTCACCGGCCAGGCGAAGAACTGCTGCGGATCCTTCTTCTCCAAGCTTTGCTGCAGATTGTCCAGCAGCTTCTGCAGCGGGCTCTTGGCAGACATCATCTCCTGACGTTGCCGCAGCAACTGCACACAGAGCCGCGGCTCTCTACTCCCAGGGCTACCAATCACTGACAACCAAAATCAATGCCTCTAAAATGGTGAATGGGTTACAGATATGGATACTGATAGGCCTTTAACTGATTCAATGTTACCTCATAATTGTGTTTATAATTTGTGTAAGTTATGTGTCATGCAAGAAGCTACAGTGGATAATTAATGTTCCTGATGAAAGCATACAAGTTGAAACCAGTGTAACAACTGCAGACAACCAAGGCATTTCGTTCTTAAGTGCTGACGTTTAAGTCTTGCAGAGAGCAATCTCCAGATGTGTTATGGCTGTCTGCAATGAGGCTAAACATCAGAACTTAGGTAATCTGAGGGCGAATATGTTGATGAGTGTGGAAGCCTTACTACTGGTTTGCTATAATGTTTGAAATTGACTCTCACTGATACAACTACATTTTGATTGGACTCATTGATTCTTGAAAAGCATATCACCTCAACTCTAAAGGACAATAGAAAACAGCAAGAGGTAACTCCCATAACAAAAGACAGGCAACTATAAATGGACGTAAGAATAGCCTAATTTATTGTATGATGAGTCCAATATGGATTGTTTTGAATAAAAACATCTAGACGTTCTTTAAGGATTAGGGGAAATGTTTTAAAAACATTTTTTATCCATTCTCCTTGATCTTGACGCATCTACAAATCTTAAACTGTGATTCAGCTGAAAAACTTCAAATTTGTAAAGGACAAATTAATGTTTACAAGATGACAAAATCATCGAAAAATATACTTTAAGCTATGGCCACCAGAACCTATAAAAATAAAATATTAGGCCTAGGCCTAAAAGAAAATATGTAGGGAGGGAATAAATAAATTGGTTAATTGATTTGTCACATGTGGTGGTTCTACATACTTGGTGAATCTCCCACGTCGGGAGTTTTGTCTACGGCCGCTCTCTTTGACCGAGGTGTTTCCTGAAGAGATTCTTCCCCCATACTGATATCATCCTGGCTGGACTCGTCTCTTAATCTTTTTCTCTTCTCCTAAAATCAGATAAAATAACAATAATTGTATAGCCTAATAGTCTAAAATCGTTAGAAACTACTACCATAGACAAAAGAATTAAATATAGACTGATAAAGGAAGGTTCCTCAATGTGCCAAACTAGAGTGTGCTCAGTGTTAGTTGATTCGCTGCCTTCCTCGACTCGCCGTCTGCTATCAGCACTACCACCCTTGCAAACGAAATGCTACCAATGTAGTATCAGATTTAAATTTCAATATGGGTAAAGTACAAAATTCTGAAATCCCGTAACTTTAACAAAAAATACAATTTTTTGAAAATCCCCAGAAATTAAAAAAATACCCCCACCGCAGCAAACCTGCAGACTAAGTCAATTTCCATTTGCCTGATTGGATTTACAATAAAATGTCTCCTTAAAAATATCACATTTAAGTTATTCCCTATTTCAATAGAATTAGGCCTAGTTTAACATGTACTTAGGTTTGCTGCAACAGGGAGGGTAAAAAAGTGTTTTTTGTTGTAAAATGTTAATAGTTTAGTAAGAAATTAGGCTAATGTAGTTTCCAAATTAGATCAAAATATAGGCCTATATATTTATTTGCTAGATACAGTAAATATATTCTGTATTAGGCCTACTAACTTAATGATAAATAAGTAAAAGATCTTGAATCTTGAACCAAGAGTAAATTTTGAATCTCTCTCAATGTAGGTAGGCCTATACTTACTTTGATTTGACTCATATATTGTTATTAAAGTATATTGACACAAACAGTGAAGAACTTCAAAGCTTAGAGCAAACAAACAGAAAACGTTTTCGCTGACTTGCCTTATGATGGTGCTTTCTCTTTTTGTCATGCTTATCCCTCTCTTTATCCTTGTCCTTTTCCTTCTTCTTTTTCTTCTTCTTATTCTTCTTGTGCTGTCTGTCGTCATATTGCCCAGGAGGGTATGAGCCTACAGACTGCATCGACTCTTCGTCCCCTCCTGCCCCGGGACCGTGGGAATCGTTACTGTGCTCAGGGGTAGAAGAACTTCCGACCTTGAGGATTAACCGAAGACCGGGCTTCTCTGAAACAGAACATTAACAAAGTAAGCTATATTATGAAAAGCTAAATTATCAGGGTTTCTGGAACATAAGTTATGTAAGTTAGTAAGGTAGGTAAGTTATTTAGTAAATGATTAAACAACGAGACAAGCAAAGCATTTTTGAAACTGTCTCGTCACTTAATCAACTATTCCAAAAGATAATACGGTTCCTAAAAACAACATGGGTGTAACATCAATAAACAACCCGATTGCCTAAGTTATAACCTACACTTTACCTTCTTAATCTAACCTAACTTCAATACACGAACAGCCACGAACCTGTATACTTAAGCCCCGACCTGGCTTCCCACATGTCTAAATAAGATCACTATTTGTTTCAGTTCCAACCGAAGTAGGTTTATATCCGTAAGTTTCACTTTTTGTTCCTAAGTTAAATAGGTGTGCGATGTGCTCTGTGCCTTAGGAAAGTAACTTTATTAACTTAGTTCTGTGTATATATAAGTTACGCAATTTTTGGTGATTTCCGCACCTTAAATAAATGTTAAAGGTATTTATCGTTTATTAGGATCGTAGGAATGGTTTAGGGCCATAACCCTCCATAGTTGTGTCCATAGTTTAGGCCTTAATGTCCGCCTATTTTTGGCGCATTTGCAAGGTTTTATTAAAACGGATCTGAGAAGCTTAAGTAAAACAATGTTAATTCTACTGTTCTATATACCATTTTGTTTGGAAAATCATGGGCTTCAATATTATACATAAAACATAAGAAACATTTGTTTCAAAAAAATTTTTAGGTAAAAAAAAATATTTTGGAAAGTTAAAAAAAAAAAAATAGCCTAAGTTTGCGCTCAATGAAATTGCATAAATTATAGGCCTATAAATATTTGAAAATAGCCACTTTCTTCTAAATTTTATGAGGATTACAAATATATAATAATATAAGGAATAACTGTAGATAACTATATTTAAAATATTAAATATAATAATATCTTTAAGAAACCGTTGTCTGATGCTCCTCCCAGAATCCAAAGAATGTGTTTGGAAATCTTACCATATCGACCAAGAGTTGTGTACAAGCGGGGTTGTGAGCTTCATCTGGCTGACACCTTGAGTAGAGATTGCTACAATGACAATCAAGATGATGAACCTCACAGCTTTGATATTCAGTTGATAATTCCTATGTCTTCTGATACAGTTTCTCGAATCAGAACTAGTGTTGGAAAATGCACAGAGCTTTCTAAATTGAAGGAAATAATCTTGAATGGATGGCCCGAAGAAAGAAACACTGTTGACAGGGAATTGGTAAAATATTTTACTTTCAGAGAAGAACTAAGTTCCTATGATGGTCTTTTGTTTAAAGGAAGCCGTTTGATTATACCTGATGAAATGAAACTTGAAGTGTTACAGAATATTCACCGTCCTCACAAATGTGTTCAAAGTTCAATTAATACAGCACGTGACTATGTATATTGGATTAATATGGAAAGAGATATTGAACAATATGTAGCAAGGTGCAATGTATGCAGCAAATATCAACGAGATAAACCTCAAGATGTGATCCTTCAAGAAACAGTACCAGTGAGGCCATGGCAGTTCATCGGTGCTGACGTTTTTGAATGTGGAGGTAAAGACTTCTTAGTAGTTGCTGATAGTTACTCAGGATATTTTGAGTGTGAAAGTCTAAGGAACAAAAGTAGCATTACTGTTATTACACACCTAAAAAAGTACTTTGCAACTCATGGTATCCCAGATGAACTAAGAACTGATGGAGGACCATGTTTTGCTTCTATAGAATTCACTAAATTTGTATCCGAATGGAAATTTAATCATAGAATTTCATCTCCTCATTTTCCAAGATCCAATGGGCTGGCGGAGAGGTATGTCCAAGAAGGGAAAAACTTAATTGTCAAGTGTCAAGAAGAACAGTCCGATATTTATCTTGCACTTCTTCATCACCGTAGGTAACACACCAAGAGGTAACCTAGGTTCCCCAGTTCAGCGGCTGATGAGTAGAAGGACAAAAACTCTTCTTCCATCTACGACCAACCACCTTATTCCGATGGTCATAAAGAATGTTCCAAAACAGCTAGAAAAAATTAAAAGGCGAGAGAAGCTGTACGGTGATATGAGGAAGACAGAGCCTGATCAGTTTAAACTCGATGAACCAGTGCTTTTCAGATTCAAACCAAAGTGTTGGCTGAGAGCAAAGATTGTTCAAGTTGGTCCTGAACCACGATCGTACAAAATCCAGACTGGTGATGGACGAGAATACCGAAGAAACTCATGGTTCCTAAGAAGAGACAAGTCATTCAGAATCTCCCATGATGTGAATAAAGGTCAATCGTCCAGGTCAGAAGAACATAACAATGACTCAGCTCCTGTTGTAAGACGAGGGGAAAGGATTAGAAGAACACCAAATAAATTTGACTTGTGAAGGAGGGATGACAGTAGTAGCTAGTATGTTTATAACATATGGCAATTGTTCTACATATGTTTTGTGTTATTGTTTTTATATTTGATTGAGTTTTTGTTAAATTAGAAATAAACAACCTTTCTTGAGTTCAGTACAATTATTTAATAATTAATCTAATGACAGTAGATTTGCAAATAAATAAGTTATGGGCAAAAAACAGATTTCTGTACATAGCGTTGAGCTAAGAATGCATAGCCTAACCATAGCTAGGAATCTGGCTGATAATTTACATCAATATCACTACCTACTTCTTAAGGATCATCAACCAGCCCTTCAAAATCACTTAAATCTTCTTATAATGCACCACGTATATCACTACTTTTGATTTTTAACACTAAAACAATGATAAACGTAATAAAACACATCAGTCATCGGTCCGAGGTTAACCAAGCTTTTTAAAAATACGCACGTCAGCTGTCTGCTACAATATTTTCGGAACTAAAATGAATAGCGCTTAGAGACAGACCTCCGGAGAAAGCTCTGAATCTAACAAAAAGAACGAAACCTAACTCGATCCAGTTTAATCCGATTCAGTCAGTCATAGAGCCTTCGCCGTAAACGATGTTCGTGTGTCGAAAAATCGACAAGTGACACTACACAAAGTGTGTCGTGAGTCGATTTTTCGACAAGTGACGCTCGGAGGGTTAAATCTTTAGAAGAAAAGTGCAGAAAGTTCAGAAATGCCTCAATCGATATTTAAGTTAAGTTAGCCCAGTTAAGAAACTGTACCTAGCCTATCCAATGAGGGTCTGGGAGAAAAGAGATCTGGTTAGTTAATTAGTTAGACCTAGGCAACTATCTGTGTTATTTTTTAGGATAGGCCTGGAGGCTAACCAAAAAATACTGTAGGCATATAAGTTAGGCCTAAGTTAGGTAAGTTACGGCCTGGTAGGATTGACTAAAATAAACTAACAAAATGTGACTTTACAAGCTGAGTAATGTAGGCAGGCCTATGCAAATTATTCAGAAAAGTCAAACAAAAAATGTTTACCCTCTTTCTCCTTTTTGTGTTTCTTGTGTCTTTTGGAGCCGAAATCGTCACCGTCTGCCATTAATTCAAGTTTAACACTGTCTTACAAGCACTATGAAAACATGTCAAACAAGAGTGTTCGTAATAATATTAAAGAACGGCACTTCTGAATAAATAAATCCACTTAAAATTTTAACTGTAGGCTAGAAACTATCAACAACAGGAGCAGACCGACGCCATAATATTGACGTTTGTCACCTTTCAACCTACACACACACACTACAAACAAGAAGGCAAGGATGGACCGTCCGTATGAGGACCAGAATGCCGGCCATTCCCCCCTTTGGAGCTTTTTTACTAATTGGAAAATGACAAGAAGAACATGATTTTCAGCATTGATTATACATATCCCAAGATGTATACCCAATGATTCCAGAGTAAGTACCTAACAAACCTACTCTACTGGTTAGGGTTAGGTATGTTTTATCGTTTTATCTTGTGAAACAAAGATTTGTAAATGTATGTGACAAAGCCTGAACGGCGAATAAATTCTATTGAATCATTTGGAACTATGACCATAGCTTCTGATTTTATCATCTAATCCACTGTACCAATCCATATTTATTTTTCAATTGTTTCCAAGGCATCAATACATTTATAAAACCATCCATAAAAGTTGACACCTGACAAATTTCCTCCCTTCAGGTTTACTCCCTTGTCTGAGGTCGGTAATGTCCAAAACTTTAATTTTCAGGTGCTATGCGAAAGTTGGATTATAGACGTAATAATTATAATGAATATAATTTTTCAGACTCCATATTTTTAGAATCTGTGAGACCAACTTTTCACCAGAAATATATGCAGCACAGCTACTAGGGACCCGCAAAGCTTTGTGACCTGGATGCACTGATGCACCCCGTTTGTTGACTTAGCCACACACTTAAAATACCCATCGCTAGCGATAAAATTATTCAACACGCTACCGACAAGCATCTGGACCTAATGAACTGATAGCATGATACCATAGATAAACTTTTTTTGTCTCTCAACGAAACCAAAACACAATCTTTGGTCTTTACGACTTGGGTATTATCATTAATACAAAACTGACTTGTAGCCCTAACCTTGGTATGCAGTAAACTCTCCAGAGTTATCTTAAAAAAGTTGTCTGAGTAAAAACTGTTAAATAAACCCTATGTCGCTTTTTCAAGAAGTTCTTTTGTATGGGCTCAGACTCTGGGGTGGGTTTGCTGAAATTAATAATGTATTGGCAATACAAAAAAGAGCAGTAAGAACCCTCACAAATGCTGAGTATGACGCCCTTGCCTCTCCTTTGTAAATGAGGAAATCATGACCGTTTGTAGTTTGTATATTTTTGTTTCAGTTGTGCATGTAAAAAATGATCTCCAGCCACTCCATCCGTAAGGGTGATCATAACATATGTGCAATACCAGAAATAAGAACAATATATTGATGCACCGTTGTGTTAGGTTAAGTAAAACAAAAAGAAATTCCAGCCAGTTAAGCATGAGATTTCTTAACTACATTTCTTGTACAGCTTGGAACCAAACCACAGAAAATGAAAAACAATCTCCGGGCCGGGCACTTTATTTATAAGACTATCGATTTCTTCCGTTATTCCAACGAGAGTGAGTGTGTTTTTCCAATGTATGTAGTGGCACATAAAACCATAGACAAAAAGAATTAAATAACTCTTTTTGTCTATGATAAACCACTGAGCTAAAATTATAACTGGAGGTAGCACTGCCATGGCAGAAGTCTGTCAAAAGCGAGTCGCTGATTTTGTTAGACTGGTATAGCAGTAAGTTTTCTTACCATAGCAATAACATGGCTTCTTATAACTAGGTTGTATAGCAAGTGAGTTTTTTTGTCATAGCAATAACATGGCTTCTTATGGACACCCACCTCACGCAAACATGGCGGCTGGCGACACGCATCTTTGACATTCAGTGCTACCTCCAGTTAGGCCCTGTACACATGAGGGCGGCAGCCGCCGCGGTTGCCATTGTGCGAGAACCGCGGCGGTTGAAAATACAAAGGAGCAAATGGTACCGTTCACATGCAACCGCCCACTTCAATCAACCGCAACGAACCGCCGCGGTCGTAGATTTCCCTTCGACCGCCGCGGCTCCGAGCGGTTGAAGTTACTAGAGGTTGGCATGAGAGCGTACACATGAGGGCGGTAGCCGCCGCGGTTGACTGCAGTTTCTACTATAGGATCACGGACATCTGCGCGCTTGCCCTGTGGACATCGCTCTCTCTCTCTCTCTCTCTCTCCCTCTCTCTCTCTCTCTCTCTCTCTCTCTCTCTCTCTCTCTCTCTCTCTCTCTCTCTCTCTCTCTCTCTCTCTCTCTCTCTCTCTCTCTCTCTCTCTCTCTCTCTCTCTCTCTCTCTCTCTCTCTCTCTCTCTCTCTCTCTCTCTCTCTCTGAGATTTTCTCCCGAAACATGGGGGAGAGCCAAATTGTTGAGGCGGATTTCAAGCAGGAGTTTGCGGTAAGACATAGGTATAAGGATTTAAGATCGACAGGGAAAAGGTGTCATGTTGTGGTGGAATGTTCTGTACGGGTGAGGAACTGGCTAAGAAGGAAAGAGCGGATCTTCGTAGAATGGCAAAGTTGTCGGGTGAAAGACTATGTGGATGTTGCTAGGTGTTTTAAGTGTCAGAAGTTTGGACATGTGGCAAAGCACTGTAAGAGTGAAACCCCTGCTTGCTCCCACTGTGCTGGGGAGCACGACTATAAGGACTGCCCCAACAAGGGTAAGAAGGAAAAGGTTAGATGTATAAACTGCGTAAGAGATAAGAAGGAAAATAGCAAGCATGAAGCTGGGTCAAGGAAGTGTCCGGCCTATGAGAAGGCAGTCAGACGGCAAAATGAAAAAATAGATTATGGATTGTAGAATTGGGCAATGGAATCTAGGGAGAGGTAAAGTTGCTACAGATGAAGCACTCAGAAGATGTATAGAAGAAAAATTAGATGTCCTTCTTGTCCAAGAGCCATACGCGGTAGGGAGAAAGGTGAAGATAGCTGGTTGCAGAGTATTTCATGACAGGAGCGGAAGAGAAGATATTTGGAGTGCAGTTATTGTGATGAATGATACCATTGGCGCCATAATGGTTGCTCAGGAAACAAGTGGAACGTGTGTTAGTGTTAGGTTAGAGCAGAATGGAAAGTCAATGCACGTGATCAGGTCTTTATTGTAGGCCGTCGGAACCCATTGAAGGTCACTTGGCATGGTTAGCTGATATAATAAGGAAGAAAGGAAATAAAGAAGTTGTTTGCGGAGGGGATTTAAATGCAAAATCGGGACTGTGGCTCAGTGGTTCAACGGATGAGAGAGGGTCGAAGGTGGAAGATGTTGTAATTGCTTGGGATCTGCACGTGGTGAACAAAATTTAGTAGATGGACGACTTTTGAGAACACGCAGGGAGGAAAATCGAACTTGACGTGACGATTACGACGAGGGATCTTACAGGAAGAATAGAGGATTGGATGGTTCATGAAGAGACGCTAAGTGATCATAGTCTTATAACAATGAAATTGCGAAGGGATCAAATTAATCGGAGACATGAGAATGAACAGAGACAAGGGTCATACTGCTTAAGGAATGTAAATTGGGCAAGATTTGATGAAGCCTTACAAAGAGGTATACAAGCGATGGATGTTGAAATGGCTACAGCGGAAGTTCACGCGGAAAAGATTACGGAAATGACGTGCAATCTGATGGAGGAGCAGTTTCCAAAAGCGAAAGTAGGACAAAGAAGGTGTACTGGTGGACAGAGGAGCTAAATGAATTACGAGTGAAGATGAGAAGGAAAAGTAGGATCTGGAATAGGACAGGAAGGGAAGATGATAGGAGAGCGTTTGTTAGGTCAAGAACAGATTACGTTTGGGGAATCAGGAAGCAAAAGAAGAAGATGTGGGAAAAGCTAATTGCGGAGGAAGAGGGCGACCCATGGGGAAAGGTCTATAAGATTGCTGCAGAGAAGCTGAAAAAGGATACTGTGCTGGTTAGCCTGGAAAAAGAAGACGGCACAATGACGGAGACAGTGCAAGAGACCCTAGAGAGAATGATACAAGGATTGCTGCCAGATGATAGGGAAGAGGAGGATACAGAGGAACAATCAAGAATCAGAAGTAGGATGACTGATGAAAGCACCGGAACAGATGAGGAAGATTTCACTGAAGGAGAGCTAAATGCATGCGTTGCACTGCTGAAGGATAGGAAAGCGCCGGGAATGGATGGAATAAAGAACGAAGTAGTAAAGAGAATGTTTGGAAGGATCAAGGGGACGCTGTTGAACCTGTACAACAAGATGCTGAGAGAAGGCAGGTATCCTGATGTGTGGAAAAAAGGAATCGTCAAAGTTTTTCTAAAGAGCGAGGAAAAGGGACCCAAGTAAGGTAAAATCGTACAGGCCAGTAACCCTCTTACCTGTCTTAGGAAAGTTAGGCGAAAGATTAATAGTGAAAAGGATGAAAGAATGGATGGATAGGGAAAATAGGGCAAATCCACTGCAATATGGATTCACGGAAAGTGTTGGAACTGTAGACGCACTTCTGGATATGAGAAGAGAAGTAGAAGAGACAGATGAAAAGTACGTAGTAGGCTTGTTCCTGGATATTTCTGGAGCCTTCGACTCCGCCTGGTGGCCAGAGATTCTGAGAGTTTTGAGGAGATGGAGATGTCCGAACAACATCTACCGATTGGTAAGGGACTACTTCCGAGGCAGAACCGTGACACTAAGAGCTGGCAACGGAGAGGTGAACAAGAACATCACTAAAGGATGCCCCCAAGGGTCTGTGGTGGGCCCTCTGTTGTGGAACATCCTGTTCGATGGGTTTTTGCGGCTGCCTTTCGAGGAAGGTATCTCCGCGAGAGCCTATGCGGATGACGGACTGCTTTTGGTGAAGTCGAACACAAGCCCTGATCTCATGAGGAAGGCATCAAGAGTCTTGGAACTGGTCACTAGGTGGGGGGAAGACAGGAAGATGACTTTTTCGAGGGAAAAGACAGTGATGGTGCTCCTGAAAGGAAGGTTGGTTGAAAGATTCATCCGTGTCGACATGGGAGACGTGACAATTCGGTGTTCAAATGAGACAAAGTACTTAGGAGTCGCAGTAAGAAGTGGATTGAAATTTGCAGGACATTATGAGCAAGTAATCGACAAGACTATGAAGGCATTCGGAAAGTTAAAAGGACTGGCCAAGGCAAACAACGGCATGAGATGCGAGAACTTGAGAAGATTGTACATCGGGGCGCTTGAACCAATGATGCTGTACGGCTGTGAGATGTGGGGCCAACGAATGAGGGGACGAGGTGAGAAGTCTAAGTTGATGAGTCTGCAGAGAAAACTGTTGTTGGGTGTGATCAAGGGCTACAGCACGATATCCCACGAAGCTGTCCGAGTGATTGCCGGGGTCATCCCGCTTGACTTGATGGTTGAAGAAAGGATTAAGAGAAGAAGGGACAAAGAAGAAGGTATCGACATCAAGGATAGCATGAGGATCCGAAGAGAAGAAACACTCGTTGACTGGCAGAGACGGTGGGAGTCTAGCACAAAAGGAAGGGAAACCTTTGCGTTCGTTCCGGATGTGAGGTTCAGAAAGAAAGTCCATTGGGAAACTGATCACTACACTACACAGTTCGTCAGCGGACACGGCAACTTCAAGGCAAAGCTGAAAAGTTTCAACCTCGTCGATGATGACCATTGCACTCATTGCGGAGAGCTGGAGACATCGCAGCACGTACTGATGGAGTGCCCATTCTATGAAGAAGAAAGAAGCGACATGAGGGAATTCCTCCAACAAAAGACATGGGATTGGGAGAAGATCAACTTCTTGAGAACCAAAGAATCTGCGCTGGAGTTTGCCAGAATGTGCCGAAGGATAGGAAAGAAAAAGCATGAATTTGAAAATGCAGGAAGACAGGCTGGAATTTGAAAAGAAAATGTTAGGAAAGAAAGATAAAATTAAGAAGATTGGAAAGAAAGAAAAAAAAAAATCCGATGACCCTAGTACAGAGGGTACTAGGTGAGGGGAGAGGTGTTGGTTAGGCACAGAATGTGCCTGGAAGGACATGGATTGAAGCTGACAGCAGGAAGAGGAATCCGAAGATATTTCAGGAAAGCGGCCTGGTGAATAAGTCTCTGACTTAAACCAGGGGTGGTGGAGGGACCGCTGGGCTTCGGCCAAACACCTCTCTCTCTCTGTGTTGGTGAAGTGTGTAGCTGTGGCTGGAGTTGATCTAGTGCTCGTAGTGTAAGTTTACAATGGCCATGCGTGCTGCTGTGGAACCAGAAAACTTTGACACTGAACTGTCCATTAAAGAAGTACAAAAAGAAGATACGTTTAGGACGTAAACTAAAAAAGAATGCGTGGCAAAGAGTTAGTTGAGTTTTTTGCTGTAAAGAATTATCAGCGTTACGCGTTTAAAAGAAAAATAATTGGGTAAATACAGTACTGGCTGTCGAGCGACGGTCAATTCAAACCGCAACCGCAGCGTAACCGCGGATCCAACCGCTGCCATGTGTACGGTCCTAGGCGGCCGCCGCTGCTGCCACGCGGCGGCTGCCGCCCTCATGTGTACAGGGCCTTAGAATTATAGCTCAGTGGATAAAACATACTACATGTACTATAACGGTTATAGTAGTATGTTTTCTGTTTTCTGCGGTAGTTGATTGTTTTGTTTTGCCATCATTAGTGTTGTGCATGGTTTGCTTTTGGCTTTGTTTGCTGTGTTATATTAGCATTTTACTTACCATTTCACCTATTATTTTTAATGCCCTAATGGAAAATGAAGCATTTAATTTAATTTAATTTGATTTCATTTCATTTCAAAATATACTCCCTTGTGTTGGTTAGTCTACAGTATTACCAACAATTCTTATATTTTACAATTTTTATTGTTTTATATTCTTTTGTTTTATAGTTCTTAGGTGCATTGATTATTGTTCTTGGGGTGTTGATTATTATTATACGCTACATAACATAGTATACTCCATGGATTTTAAACCGCCAAAAATAGGAAAAAGCAACCTTTTGTTCTGTTTCAGTTGTTTTGGTTTTGTTTAGTTTTCTTTTCTTTTCCAGTTCTTCACTTCATGTTTTCGTTTTGATTATTTTTCTTTGAGGTTAAAAGTGTTTAAAAGTGAAAAGTGTAGGCAAAGTGTGCAAATCTTTTTTGTCTTTAATTCTTTATCATAACTTCACCAGCCCTACTAAGCAGTTGTATAGTAAAAATTACGAAACTGTAAGTTGAAGCTGTACTTATAGAAGGAAACCTAGCCTATTTGCTACCTACCCAAAGGATTTCTGTTTCTCTGTTTAATTTCTTTGGAAATGACCAGCAGGAAGTTGCCAAACATTTTAATAACTGGTGTGTTAACTTGCTACTTCTGCTGTTATCTTTGCTTAATTTATTTGTGTACAGTTCCGCAGAGAACCTACAATATTTAAGTTCTATGCGGTAAGGCATATAACTAATTAAAATGTTAGGCCTAGTTCTATAAATAGGTGTGCCTATGAAAGAATTTTTGTTTTTGATAGGCCTATGTGTTCATTTAGGTTAGGGTGGAGTGGGGTAAGTGTGACAGCGGGGTAAGTGTGATAGCCGGCCATCTAGGATTATGGTTCACTCAAAGCTCATCACTCATATTTATTTAAGATTGGCTTGTCAATTTGGACGTTACAGGCCTAGAGTAAACACAATTTAAAAATACACAGAGGATACGCGTCCGGTAACCAGACGTGGATTAGGCGTCTGGTAACCAGAAGTGGATTAGGCGTCCGGTAGGGGGTCCCGGAACGCCATTACCACAATGATACGATGTTCAGCCATCAGTGTTTGTGGTGTAATAGAGTGCTCGACTGATATGCGAGAGGTCCCCGGTTCGAAACTCAGCGGTTACTCTAACTTTTTGTCACAGATTTTGCTTTGAATGTAATTTCTTCTTAACTGTACATCTTTTGTTAGAATTTTTGGCATTTATAATTTTATGTTATGAAGAGAATTGAACCTTCATTTGATTTTTTTCACTATCAGCAAGTTTGGTTGGTTAGGTTAGGTTATGACAGTAACTGCCGGACGCCTAATCCACGTCCGGTTACCGGACGCGTATCCTCTGCGTTAAAAATATGTAACAACAAAAGGTTTTGGCGGGAGTTTATTGAATGGTACAGGAGAATGTTGTGTTTGTGGGACATTCAAAGCAAACCATACGGACACAAACATCTGAGGCAAGAGGTTTTCTTTGTCCATCCTTAAATCGTGTAGGCCTATTACATCCCTCGGCACATTTTCTTCAAGTCCCCTTAACAGTGGTATATGGCTGTAATTAGGAAGCTCGATGCTGACTGAATAAAACCGAAGCTAGGCCTATATGAAGATTCCACAGTCGAAACTCGATCGTGTGTGTTAACAGCCAGACTTGATAGACTCGGCAGACAGGCAGCAGACTAGGCGTGTCTGCCGACATGTTGGACCCTGTATGGGGGGCTTAAGTTTTTTGTAGCCAGCCGTTTGAGGAGTAACCATGTAGCGACTCTATAAAAGACCTTGAGTTGTATCAATATTTAGGCCTATTCAATAGGCTAAGTTTTAATTAGAACTAGCTGGCCTGACAGACGTCGTCCTGTCCTAATGTGGTTTTATGTCAATGCTCGTTCATTTTCAAGATGAGCTCGTTTGCATGGCTCAATCACGTCCTGGTTGAAGTTCGTTTGCTACGCTTACTCACCTTTAGGTTGGATCTCGTTCGCTGCGCTCACTTGCCTTCAGGTTAGCTCGTTCGCTACGCTAACTCGCCTCCAGGTTGAAGTTCGTTCGCTACGCTCACTCACCTTTTGGTTGCAAATTAGCGGTTGTCATAAATTAAAAAAAATAATAGTGCTCCACCCTGTTGGTAAACCTATTAACTTTAAATACTATTGAACATCACAGAATCAAATTGTTTAGTTGTACCAGCTGTTAAGATTCTTTATTCCATTTAAATACGAGTACTCATAAGGTTAACATGGGAAACTCTAGAGCCACTATGGCGGAGCCCTTATGACGGATATGCACAAAACTTCACACAAACCATCCTTGAATAACGCTTAATAATGCCTGAAAGTTTCATTACAATCTGTCGAGCGGTTTTGGAGTCCATAAAGGACAAACAAACAAACAAACATATAGGCCTATTGGATGTTATATATATAGACTAGAGGTCTTCCAGTGGTCAAAAACTCAAACAAAAATATGTAATGACCAGACTACTCTATTTTCACCCAAAAAAATGTAGGCTTATTTGGAATTTCTTCCATTTGTTTTGATTTTCTGTTTATATTGCGTTGTTATTTCGTCACCAGCATGGAAAACCATAAGGGCCATGTTAATTTTTTTTTAAATCTTAAATTCATTTTTTGTGCACATCTACAGGAAAATATCTGTCCAACAGTATGCGTGGATTTTCCCTGCGATGCACACGAGCTGAGAAAAAAGGTTTTAAAGAAACATGCTTGCCTATTAATATATAGATTTAAATTGATAGCCTAGGTCTAATCTTTTCTTGATTTCATACTTAGTAAGTCAATGCCAATGTAGCCAAAACACCATCAATAAATGAGATAATGACTATAACTAAACCACTTTAAGTTAAATTTGTTTTCAGGTACGCCAGGGGTTGGGAAATCAACTTTATGTGCTGAGATAGCCAAGAGAACTGGTTTTGAATGGTTAGAGGTTGGGAAGATTGCTAAAGAACATGAGTGCTATGAAGGTTATGATAATGTCTATGAATGCCCTGTGCTAGACGAGGACAAGGTTTGTATCAGAATAACTTTTATGAGTTTTGTTAAACCTATTGGTTTTGTCTCTTACTATTAAAGTACACCTAAACATCCCAATACGGTATTACATTTGTAGCAACTTTTTGAATAAAAAAGGAATAGGCCTACAGTTGGATTAAGCTACCAACCGTTTTTTTTTTATTTGTAGCTTGATAGCAGAGTAAGTTATTAAGCTATATGTTGCTATTTGTTTAGTAATTTAATAAAAAGTTGATAAAGTTGATCTTTGGATTGGGTAGCGTTTTGTTGAAAAGACCAGATTAAGTTAGCTAAAATTTTTCCAATACAATATAGGTCTACTCTAACTAACTTTCACTCATAGACGTAAAATAGAGTGTCTATTTTTTCAGACACCAATTAATATCGTAAGAAGATAGAGAAATACATTTTAACCTTAATAGTACTGTAAGCGCACAACTTGTTTGCGCGTGACCCCTCCACCGCCTCCGCGGCCAGGAGGGGCCCCCACCACATCCCGGCGCTTGGCGATCTGCTACTAGCCGCCCTAAAAAAATGTTGTCTATACTACTTCTACTCCTAGCGGACACACGGCACCTATGTTGGTAGCTACTGGGAGTGTTGGTGGCATCTTGAATGTGATTGCAAATGTAGTTTTAAATTACCCTACCATACAATTACAAAGTATTTGTTACGACTTAAGAATATTTTCCATTGTCTCATAATATTTTCGTCACGTTTAAAAAAATAAATTAAACATTGTTTATTGTATCTGTCATATGCATCAAAAACAGAAAACCACAATTAATTTAATTACACGTAATAGGTTACAATAATAAACAATTAATAGTAACAACGGAAGGAATCTTTAAGAAAAGGATATCAGTTACCTTATGTTACAATGGAGTTGCAAGGTCAGAGTCTGATATTGAATCCGTGTCCGAATCTTCACATTCACTGTCTTCTGAATCCACACCTCCAAGTTCAATAACAAAACGTTCCACAGCTTCCTCCATTATGCTATCTTTAATCCAATATTCTTGTTCTATTTTAAGGGTGTGGCTGGTAAACCCCTCCCAATCTATTTTACTGATAGAAAAAATTGCATTTATTGTAGCTTCCTCCAATTTTGTCAGTGACAGATCACCCGTAATATTTTCCTCCTTGATTTTCCTTTTCATCTTGGCCCAGGCTAACTCAATCGGATTGAGGTCGCACATGTAAGGAGACAATCGAATCACGCTGTGACCATGCGATTTTAGCATTTCATCTATCCGATAAATTTTTTCAGGAGGCTTGTGCTGATTAATCAATTCCCACAACTCAAATTTTTTCATTTCCATCGAGCAAGGGATCTTATTTTTTGTCAGCCAGTCAATCATTTCTTTTTTGACTGCGTATTTGGATGGTGGCTTGTTTACTTGTAAGCAGTGATAAGGGGCGTTGTCTAGCACAATAACACTTTTATTAGGGAGGTTTGGTATAAGTTTTTCATCGATCCACTTTTCAAAGTTTACTCCATTCATCTGGCCATGATAATCTCCAGTTGCTTTACCAGCTCTAAATATTAGTGTTGCATCATGCACAAAACCATCTTCTGAACCGGCACTAACCACAATTAATCTATTAGACGAGCTGGTGTTAGTGAGAACCCCGGGGACATCGTCACTGCTCCAGCATTTTCCAAATGTTAAGTTGTTATCAACCCATGTTTCGTCAAGATATATGATTTTATATTTTTCATGTCTACACTTTTGAATGTCTCGCAAGTAGCGAGCGCGCCAATTTACAATATCCGGCCGTTCTATCAACACTTTTCTAATTTTCCCACACCTTTTCCATTTAAACCCCATGTCTTTTAACAGTTTTCGTAAAGTGGAAACTCCCCAAGGAAAATTAATTTTTTCTTTAATTGCATATAACAGTTTTGGTGCTGTCGGCACTTTTTTTTGTATCGTATAAAAATTATGAATAGTGTCTCTTATCACTCTTTTATCGAATTCATCGATGTGGAATTTCTTCTCCTCTGAGTAGGGTCTTTTTTTACCTGGTGTTTCTAGGGTAGATCCTCCGGCCTCAACCCCTTCTTTCCTAATTGACGTAACACTACGAACAGATATCCCCGTATAGTTAGCAACCCGCTGATTACTTTGCTTCAGGGTATACTGGAGGGTTCTAGAGTTGGATTCTTCGTCACACTTTTGAATAACACGTCTTATAATTTCCCTCGCTTCACTATGAATGGTTTGCCCTTTTTTACGACCGGTTGCCATTATATTAATCTAAGTTAGCATAGTACAAACAGCGCACACACACACTTTTTAACCCACGGCTTAACAATCACTTAATAATTGATAATTTTACTAAATTTATTACTACCAGTATGTTTTCTGTGTTAATACTCAACCGCACAACTTAACTCCACAACACAGTCCAATACACTGACACTGACATTCGATAGAGCACGATAGAATACAATACTCACTTCCGGTCATAAAACATTGCCATAAAATACTTTACGACATTAAGATACCGACTTTCGGTTTATCATCTTAGGAATGTAAAATAAATAACTGCAAGCCATTAAACATTTTACAGGATGTTCGGAAAAACTGTCAGATATTATAAGGTGTTACCAGTGTTGGGGAAGCTACTTTTAAAATGTAGCTAGCTACAACTACTGCTACATTTCCAAAAAAGTAGCTTAGCTACAGCTACAGCTACAGTTCCCAAAAAGTAGCTAGCTACAACTACAGCTACAATGAAATGTAGCTACAGCTACAATTTTAGCTACTTTTCCAAAAGACGTTACTTTTTATTCCACGCACATTAGGTAAATGTAAAATTAATTGCAACTACATTTTTATTGAACAAACATTTAAAAAAATGTCAGTATTGTATCTAACATTACTTGGAAAACAAATTATTCCTAGATTGTATTTAATTTGTTGGCATTATAAACCTAACATTACAACAACAGAACCAAATAGTTGGGTGTCTCATCATATTTAGTACTTATTTTTAAATATTGCATTATTTTTAAACATCTTAAAATGTAAATTTCATTAAGTTCAAAGGACAAACAACCAAACTATATTTTAAAAGCTCATTTTATTAATCTAATATAGATTCATTTATAGATGTTTTATATCAACAATTAAGACCAATAAAACTGTAAAAAGATTATTTAAAAATACTTTTTTGTGTTACAGAGCCTAGCCTACTGAAATTGGAGTTTATTGCCTTCCTTTACTTTTAATGTTAAAAACGACATTGCTATAACTTTGAAAGTGATAAATTACTTGTTCTACGAATAACACTTTTCAATGTCAAGAAATCGTCCTTTATTGTCATTATGCATAGGGCAAATTGTGCTTCAACCTAGTTGGTAGAGAAAACAGTATTCAGTAACTTATCCTGAAATCGGCTTTTAATTTAAACGTGTTTAATTTTGTAAAGTAAAAATAACATGTAGGCCTACTTGGCTATGTAACAAGTTGGCTATAGTAGGCTTGTTCTTGCAAGGACTAAACAGATATATTCATAATAATTGAACTTGGAACTTGTGTTCGTCTTATAGCCTCAGTCCTATACAAGTACAAGAGTTGTTAGCAGGAGCAAACTATGCTATTTTTTCAATGTATGTTTCATGTTATATGGAGGGAGATTTTTTCATTACAATTATCATGTAGTCTAGGCATATCTTAAATCTCATCAGGTAATTTCCTCTTTGTTAATTTAGTAAACCTTTGAAAAATCCTCGTAATCTAATCTAACCAAGGAAGGACTTGAGATGATAAACCACAATCAACAGCTGAAGCAAAGGTTGATAGACCAGCTTTCTAATTATTTCAAGGTGTGTTGGTTTCCATTAAACCCCAAGTTGAAACATTATCGATATAATAAAGAAACTAAATTGATTACTAATTCCCCTGTCCTGTCAATCACTTGCAAGCATTCAATAGCTTCTCTTGTCACCGGTACCCGGTACCGTTTAAACGTCGTCTGCATCTAGCGATTTTATTTTTTATCTGACAGTAATCATAGAGTAGTAAATTAAGGAAATGAGAGCCAAAAATGTGGATAACACTCATTTAATGGCCTCTATGTCCACACAACGTTGTGTTGTAATAGGGAATGAAACGGCTGCAACCAGCTGTTTGAAGCCAATAAAGTAGGCCTATTTTGTTTTTATCTCAGTTTAAAAGAGGTTGTTTCACGTAAGGTTGAGGTTATGATAAAAATCACTATCTCAAACAAGTTAATGTAGCGAGAAAAGTAGCTAAAATTCCGCTACAACTACTTTAAAAATGTAGCTAGCTACAGCTAAAGCTACAAAATCTTAAAAGTAGCGTAGCTACAGCTAACGCTACAAAAAAAGTAGCGCGCTACTGTAGCGTCGCTACTTGTAGCGCGCTACTTCCCAACACTGGGTGTTACTTATTGTTCATGATATGAAAATAAGCAAAAAGTTTCCAAATGTAGTAAGCCTTATGGTTTTCTGTTTATAGGTATACCTGTATATGTTTTACACAAAAATACTATAGGCTATCTTAAGATATCACCTATGAACTCAATAAATGGTTAACGCCTAATAAGTCAAACTTTACAATTAAATTGGAATATACAACGATTTTACCGTTTGGTGTACATTTTAATAAGTAAAAACATAGTTATATAAAAATTAATTACTCTACTACATAACAAAAACAATAATATAGAACCCTTAGTAATTACATTGTGTGGTGCCTGATACAATTTCAAATTTAAATTCTTAGAAAAATTTAAGCAAAACACGAAATTAACATGAACAGCGCTGGTCGAATGTTTTTAGGAAGCGTAGTCCGACCAGTGCGACGGAAACTTCGGCTGCGTGGTGGGAGATTGCTACCGCTCTCCCCCCGCGCACCCGGCTCGCAAACAAGTCGTACGCTTACAGTAAGTCTCTCATTAGGATAAAAAACCCTGTTTTCAAGGTAGGCTCCTTATCGAGATTCACAACAACATGTAGGTCTACTTAGAGGTAATAAAACAACAAGATTTGTTGAAAATTATACTTGTTATCAAGGCCAACTTGCTATTGAGGTTCACATGGAGAACAGAGTCAATAATCCCATACATGTCATCGTGTACTTCTAATCTAATATTCCTTTTGTTAACCTGGTGGTAATTTCTCAGCTACTAGATGAGTTGGAGACCAGAGTAGCTCCTGGTGGAAAGATTCTTGACTATCACAGCTGTGAGTTTTTCCCTGAACGATGGTTTGACGCAGTATACGTCCTTCGAACTGATACCAAGTACCTTTTTGACCGTCTCAAAGCAAGGTATTTAAAATGGCTATGTAATGGAAACCGAATTGATGTTGATATTCTGGTTAGCTTTAGTAAGGAGATTAAGTTTTTGGAGTGTGGGAATTTTTTTGAAGTTTAAATAACTAAACAAATGTTTTTTTATTTAATTTGGCTTGATATTTATGAATATTTTCTACAACTAAAATAGTTACAAACCTAAAAATGAATCCGCAATTCAACAAAATAAATAAAATCTTCTTGTGTTGTCCGTGTAGCCTACTGTAGATCACCTCATAACCGACCTCGCATTAACCGATAATCGGACTATCTGCCCTCTCTATTAAAGTATTACAGTTTGTTTAAACCGACCTTATTTTGAGAGCAGTTCGGTTTAACCTCTGCTTTCTAGGAGTCTCGGCATTTCCGCTCCCACACTCGGCGATGGGATCAATAGGCTACGCTAAACCTTACAGGATGTTAACTGTATAAAAAACATCCTGTCTCATAGTTCATAACAAAATGGTTGCTTGTATCTTTAATTTGGAAAATAAGTGTATAACGATGGATTTGAAAAGTATCAAATCAATTAATTTTACCAAAGGTATTAAAATGCGAATTTCTATTGAATCTTGCCTCTCGCTACAATTTATTCCACTGAAAGTATTTGACTTTACTGTGTTTTGGATTTATTTGAGACTTTTCTACCGTCAGTACTGAAGAAAAAAAGATCATTGTTGTTTATTTAGTAAATAATGCACACACGGCTTCAGAATAATGATTATATAGGCTAATTCCAAATTAATAGCACTTCAAGTTTTAGGGATTGTCTGTTTTAACCGACCTTTTGAGTTATTCAACCTTTTATTTTATATTTATCAAAATGGGACTGACGTTCAGGGGGTTAATCAATCAATCAATCAATAAAATCTTTATTCAATATTAGTACTCTGTACATAGAATGGTGTCAATATTAATGAATACTAAAATACATTATAACTAAGATTGGTTAATACTAAGGCTGTCAAAACAAAATATATAGTTATATGCATGAAAAGAAAAACAGAACTAAAAACTTTCTTTACACATCATTTTTACATGGGAATTCGGAGAAAGAATATAATGTTAAATCAATAAGATATTTTTTTAGTTGATTTTTGAATTTATTAATATTTTTCTCAGATTTAATGGCTTTTGGTAACATATTATAAAATTTTGACCCCATATACATTGGCTTTTTTTCATAAAATCCAAGTTTATGTTTGTCAATGCCAATTCTATTCCTGAATCTTGTATTATAATTATGAGTATCTCCAACAAAATGAAGTTGGTCCTGACGGTTTTTCACAGAAATTATAGTTTCATAAATGTACATTGCATATACAGTCATGATACCAATTTTAGAAAAAAAGAGTTTTACCGATTCATTATAATTTAATTTTAATATAATCTGAATTGAATGTTCCTGAATTTTTAGTATTTTGTTCAAATTTTGAATGGAAGTTGCCCCATATAATGAAAGACCAAAGGCGATATTTGAATGAATATAGGCGAAATACACTATTTTCAGAGTCTCTGTTGAACAAATTTTTGAGAGCCTCCTTAGTGCATATACCCCAGAGTTTAATTTAGAAACTAGATTATTGACATGGCTGTTCCAAGACAAGTTGCTGTCTATAGTTAATCCTAAAAATTTAGATTCATACACCTTCTCTAATTCAGTTTCATTTATAATGATGGTAGGTGACAGCATATTTTTATTATTTTGATAAGTTTTGAATTCAATGAAATTTGTTTTAGCAGAGTTTAGTACTAAACTATTATTTTGGAAAAACTGATTTAAAAGAGCCAGGTTTGAAAATGATGACAACTCAACCTCCTCAATAGAGTGCCCATTTATTTGAAGATTGGCGTCATCAGCATAAAGACATAAGCTATAATTATTATGTAATTTTGGCATGTCTTTTATGTAGCATGTGAATAACAAAGGTCCCAATATGGACCCTTGAGGAACACCTCTTATTACCTGTTTAAGAGTGGATTTGTATTTGAGCAATCTATTGTTATTTAAATTTAAAATTTCTACAAACTGTTGTCGGTTACATAAATATGTACTAAGCCAATTATATTCTTTCCCTTCAATCCCAAACAATTTCAATTTATGTAATAAAGTCCCATGATTAATGCTATCAAAGGCTTTACTCAAGTCCATAAATATGCCTACAACTTTCTTGCCTTTATCAACTGAGTCGATCACAGATTCAATAAACTCTGTTGCTGCAGTTACCACTGACCTTCCTTTACGATAACCATGCTGGCAACAATCAAACAACTTGTTAGTTTCAAGGTACTCAATCAGCTGGTTCGCAACAACTCTTTCAAAAATTTTTGAAAATATAGTGATTAGAGCAATTGGTCTAAAATTATCAACTTCTGATGACTTCCCTTTTTTAAAAATTGGTTTAATTTTTGTTATTTTCAATATTTGTGGAAAAATTCCAGTTATCAATGATGAATTGATCAAAAATGTAATGGGTTTAATCAATACTTCTTTTGCTTTTTTAATTATTGGTCCAGGAACTTCATCATACCCTGTGCTAAAACTATTTTTGAGATTGCTTATTATTTTATCGGTTTCTTTTTCATTTATTTCCCTAAACTTAAATTTTTTAGCTGTATATTTTTTATCATTTTTGTTTTCATTGGTGTGAAGTTTATTTTGTGATTGACTTACAAAAAAGTTATTAAAAAGTTCACAAATTTGTTGAGGATTGCTTACTATTGAACCTCGGTGGTTAAGCTCTATGTTGTGTGTTACAACTTTAGAATTGTTACCCACCTCTGAATTTATGATCTTCCATGATGTTTTAATTATATTTGTAGATTTTTTTATTTTATTCTCATAAAAGGATTTTTTATGACTACTCAATGTAGTTTTGTATGATTTAAACTTACTTTTGGTTGTTATTCTCTTTTGGTCCGAAGCTGAATCTCTGTAGCTCTTAGTTTCCATCAGTAAGTTTTTATATTCGTTTTTTAGCTCATTTGTGAACCAGGGTTTTTTATCAAGATGCTCTCTAACACTTGCAACCGGAAAATTATTATTAAAATGAAACATAAAGATGTCATAAAAGGTACTAAACTTTGATTCATTTGGAGTATAGTACAGTTCAAACCAATTCTCACACTTTAAATCCTGGATAAATTGTTTTATGTTATCATCAGTAAACTTTCTTTTTTTCATAAATACTATTCTAGGTTGTTTTTTATACATTTTACTCTTATCTATTATTTGTATCAATTGTGCATCATGGTCTGACAGCATTGTGTTATATCCTTCAACTTGAACCTCTGACCGACTCAAGTTTGTGAATACATTATCGATAGCTGATTTTGAATAAGCTGTAATTCTAGTAGGAAAATCTATTAAATGTATCATTTTGAACTGTCCTAACAAATTATACAGTTTTCTTGATTCAACAGAAATTGTTTCAGCCATGGTATTTATGTTTACATCACCTACTACCAATATGTTTCTGTACATTGAGTGAACTATATCTAAAAAATTTCTTAATTTTTCCAAGAACAAAGACAAATTAGCTGCTATTGGAGATCTGTAAATACCTGCTATTAGTATTTTATCTTTATTAAGTTTTAATTCTACAAGAGATAGCTCAAAAGTTTGTTCTATTAATAGTTCTTGTACTGAAGGTAAGCTTAATTCTTTTATGTTAAATCCATTTTTTGAAAGAATAACAACCCCACCACCAAATTTATTCTTCCTGCAAAAAAATGACTTTACTTGATAATTAAGAATGTTTAACCGTTTTAATTCCTGCTCAGCCATTTTATGTTCAGTGATCACCACCACTTCGGCTGGAATCTCTTCAAGTGTAATTTCTAGTGCTTCAATTTTACAAGGCAGTGAATTAATATTTTGATGGAAAATTCTTATTATTTTATTTTTGTCCTGATCATTGGTTATGTTTGGCATGGTATTTACTGATCTCCCCTTTACATTGCCATTCCGTTTGCCCGAGGATCTAAAAAACTGACATGATTTCTCAACAAGTTACCATTGTTATTTACACAGTTATCTACATTATTTACATTACTTATATTACTTATGTTTAACGCTCCACTTTCCCTATCCACACACATACTCTGCTTTAGCGCCTCACTAAATGTGAGGTCGTTACTGTACTTGTTTGGATTCAACTAAACTAGCCTAGTGAAATTGTTTTTGTAGTAGGCCAATAAAAACATACAAGATTAAACTTAATAGATCGTAATCTTACGGTTTTTATCAATGATTCTAATATTGTTACAAGTAAGAAAGCAGTTTTTACAATAAACATAAACCATTATAATACTTGCAAAAGGTGCTATCATAGTGACCTTATGACTAGCCTACCATTTAAATTTACAGAAAATCAGGGCAAACCCGAATATTCAACAATTGCTCAAACATTGTAGGCATGTTCTTCGACCACAATAATTTCAAGAATAAACCCAAGTACTCTATCCAGGATTGTTCAGAAAAAAAAATAAATGCAATTTTCAAACAACTTTCAAGATTTGAACATCTTTACTTGCTGTCTTACATGCATTTATCTTAATTTCAGAGGTTATTCAGGCAAGAAGTTTGACGACAACATCCAGTGTGAGATATTTCAGACGATTCTAGACGAGGCGAGAGAGTCTTACAAGCCTGAGATTGTGTTTGAGCTGCAAAGTAACACTGACGATGACACCGGAGCCAACATATGCACAGTTATTGACTGGATAGAGAAGTGGAAGAAAGACAACGGCAATCACTGGTTGGTTTGAAACTAATTCTTTTTGTTATCCTCTTTACGCCACACAACACTGTTTAAACGAACTACCCACACAAGGATTTAGTCCAGATAACAGCTGTTTGCCGCCAGCTTAATCAAATGGGGTTTCATTGCGTACTGCTATACTGTAATTTATATATTTAATTTACTATCTGATTAAACTTGGCAATGAGTGGTTATAAACGAATACATAACCTCTCTTAGAGGTTATGAGTAGTGACTTAATCCTTTAGTCGGTGGGAATATAAGGATTTGTCTAGATTTTTTATTGTTAAGTTTGTTTAGTGTAGTATGGCGTAAAATATCGTACGTCACTCGTTCAAAATGTGTTTACCAGACTTGTATGGTAATCCTGCACTCGGCTTTGTCTCGCACAGGAACGACCACGCTCGTCTGGTATACAGCTATTTCAGGACTAGTAATGTAATATGATACAATTACAAAAAGAAACCTGCAAAAATGCACAGACACACTATAATTTTATCTTTCAATTTCTCGAACAAGTTCCTTAATAATCTAATACAGTTTATTTTCTACCTAAAGTTGTTCACCAACAGAAGAAAAAAGTTTATTATATTTGAAATTTAAAAAAAGTCAGTTTAGGCTATATTATAATTATAAAGCTTACTTGTCAGAGCGTTTTTTTGTACAGCGTTTAAGGTGCAACTTAGCCTATTTCTTACGCTGGGATGGTTTTAAAGGTTTAACTATAGAATAGCTAATATATTACAGCAATACACTTTTTCAGCAAGACCAAGTTCTTCAAAATAATTTTAATTGGTAGGTTAGATCAATCATAATATTAAATTAGCCTAAATAATTTGTTATGATTATTGATTTTTGCATAATTTTATTTTTATTGCTGTCTATAACTTAACTTATCGCAATCTAAATACATAATCTATGAATACAAACTTATGTAATTTGACTTACTACTTCCTAGTAGGTAGATTATCCAACTGTCCTTAAAGGTTGGATACATACGCCAGACCAGAGTCACTAAAGCCCCGTTTACACGACCAGATCCCAACCGTCCATTCCTGTTCCCGGTCCCGACCGCCTTCTCACCTGGTTGACAGAGTGTTTTGGTTGACAGAGTGTTGTGTTTACACGACCCATTCTCTGTGCCCGATCTGAGCTCAGTGCGTTGCTTTCCTTCGTTGGAGAACGTCATTATTAGATTTTAATAAGTAGGTTTTTGGAAGTTTTTCCAAGTGTAAATATAAAGCTTGATAGGTGTTCCACAAGAGTTTGTAAGATTTGTACACTTCTATAATTTCCATCGAAACACCTTTTACCTTCTGTGGAGTAGATTACGTCATCTCAAAAATACAAAAAAAACTTTAAATTTAACTCAGACACTCATTTTAAGGTTGGACTGAGAGAGTTACCTGGTGTAGAGCTTCGGAATTCACATCCGTTCCCAGAGGAAGTGAGCTATCCTCACCCTTCCTCTCTAAATCCGATGGAAGTCCTTCCCAACCTCCCTACCCGATCGCCATCCAAAACGTGACCAGGAGCACGTGTTTACACGATCCGATTTCAGGGCCTAATCCGAACTAATCACGACCAGACCCTGTTCCAATTACTAAACCATTCTTGGTAGCTGAAATGCATTAACATTGTAACAAACAAATTTAAACAAAATATTTTGTATGTTCAAATGGTTATATTCCTAAACTTAATGATTGCTTTCCACAATAATGAAAATACCAAGATCATCTCGTGCGATTTTTGCCACAACATGATTGTCTTCTGCGATCATGGAACTCCGGTAATCATCTCCCACTGCCTTGTTTTTTTAATTCACGACAACCTTATAAGAGAACTAATGGAGCTTGGCGTTAGGCTAGGTGAATATCCCTAATTTCCCGGCTCTCAAGTACTATTCCCAGTTTTCTCGGTTTCCTGGTCAGCAGAACATTCTGGTCAGTATGAAAGAGAACACATAGTCTTTTTTCATTTAAAAACAGTGACTCCAACTACTCCCCAACTAGTGTTTTTGCTGGGGTGTATCTTTGACTGGCTGTATTAAGAAATAAAGCTTTACAATTTTAATTTACTTAATAATTATTGTTAGTTTATAATCAAATCAAAGTTGTGTGCAAGAAACAAATTGATAAGTTCATTATTTGTAACTATTGTTTTTTCTCTCTTACAGATTTAAACATTCTACACCTTAGTTCTACAATGGCAGCAGTACTACAACGTCAACCTTTAACCATAAAACAGCAGGTCGAAGAGTTAAAAAACTGGCACAAACAACAACAAAGTAAAATAGATGATAAAACAGTAGATAGAAACTCTACTAGTAGGGAAATAAAAAACAATGGTTATTTTACAAACCCATCTTGCGAATCAAGCCCAAACTCAAGAATAAACTTTGACGAAATTCCTATTAAAGTAAGCAACAGTAATTTTACAGCCCTTGTTGAAAATAATGTAAGCCCCGTGGATTCTCATGAAACAAAAAAACCAGAAGGAAAAGACAAACCTAAATTCCGTTTTTTAAAAAGAGGAGAAGGTATAGCTAGATTTAATATGGGCCCATCTAAAAACAGTAAGAAATTCATTCCAAGAAGACAGCCTAGCCTCAAGCTTATAAAAGAGCCAGCAAAATCATCTGAAAATCCAAAACTTGTAAGTGGTCATAGCAGTATCCAATCAAGAAAAAGTGAAGATATTCCAACGCTTAAAGCTCCTGACCTAAAACTAAACTTTACTTGGAAAAGCATTCTAAGTGGTGGAAATCCAGAAGATATGTTGGAAAAGGTTATCAATAGCAATCATTTTGAAAAAATGGACCCCAACTCAAGCATTGACTCTTCAACTGCTTCGCTAATGGAAAAACTCTTAGCGTTAGGTAAAAACAGGTTGTCTAGGGATAGGGAGGAGCTCAGAGTTTTTGAAACACTAGAGCAACATATGTTGGACTCCAGTTTTTGTTCCACCTCATCATATGTAAACAAGCTAATGGAAAATGCAGTCATGTCAACTCCGAATAAAGGAAAAATTGAGAGTCAACAGTACAAAACACAAGCAATCACATCAAAATATAGCAATCAGTTACCTGAAAAAATACAAAGTGTGATTGAGCAAAATACCCAAGAAAAAACTGCGGTTCCTGGTATGGCTGCAGCATCTGCACATGAGGCAAAGAATGACAAAGAAGACAATTTGACTGAAAATGGTGTGATTAATGAGGAATCACAAAGTTATCAGAACAAGAATAAAAACAGTACTGGACTGGAACCTCATCATGCAGTTGCTACTTGGAAAACAAATGCAAACAGAAGTGAAGAGAATTGTATTTCAGTTGAAAGTAGCTTGGAAGATTGTGAACAAAGTTTACATGTAAGATTTGCTGACAAGATTGATTATAAGAGCTTTGTTGAACAATCACAATCTATTGATAGTGGAAGTCTTAAAGATGGTAACAGAATTACAGAATTTGACGAGAGCCATGAATGGAGAGAAGAGAGCAGCAGCAGTTGTAGTCAGTGTTCCAATCAGTCTTCAGATGAAGATGCTAGACCTTTTATACCTCAAGATAAACAATCATTTAGAAATCTTCAAAATGAGAGAAACCCTTCTCAGGAATGCCTAAGAGTTACCGACCTATTAAAAAATGAAAACCATGAAAATAATGGAGCTTCTTCAAACAATGATCACAACTTTCCACCTTTATTGTTAGCAAAACTAAAAGAACTGGAAGAAGAAATAATAATCTTTCGTGAAGAAAACAGTAATATCAAAGCCCTGAGAGAAAGTTTAGAAAGAGAACGTAGGCAGATACAAAAAGAAAAAAGGCGAATGAATTTGGAAAAGAAAAAGTTGCAAAAAGAATTAGAGGAAGAAAAGAAACAACTGAAAGCTCATCTTGAGGAAGAGAAACAAAAATTAGCAAAGGAAAAAGTAACATTTGAGAAGTACTCTAAGTCGCTAACGAAAAATCCTACTAGGGAAGAAAGAAAAGAAATTCAGGCTTTAAAAGAACAATTAACTGAAATGAAAGAAGAACTCAACAAAAAAGAAAGTCGATGGGGAGCTGCTCAAGCTAGGGTAAGAAATCAAGTGAAAGTTCTTGAGGAAGATAATAAAAAATTAAAGGAAGAAATTGAAACTTTTAGAAAGCAGGCCAAATACTGGGATCTATTTAACCAAAAGAAAAAAGGGAAACCTTTCAACAATACAAAATTAATCCATGCTATAAGTGAACATATTTCAAACCTTGTACTTGATGAAGAAAATCATCGAGAAAAAAGTAATAGGAATGAAGGTTGTTTTACAAAGAAATTGCCTGCTACTGAAACCACCCAATCGAACTTCAGATCGTCTGCTACCCAATTAGACCTTCAAAGCATGTATGGTGTCAAAGTAATAAGACAAAATGTGAACAAGGAACCGCCAAATTTTAATAAAACATCAAAATCAAATCCTACCCAAGAAGAAATTTCAGTAAATAAGGCAGAATCTGTTGTTGATTTAAACGATTCTCAAGGTTCCAGTAAAAAGATTACAACAATTACCTCCACTCAAGCTGAAATTTTTGACAATAATTCTCAAGTGGCAGACAGATGTTCAAAACCTCAATTAGAAGAAGAATCTAACACTATAAAAGAAGTTACCGATGAAAGTGGTAATGTAGAAATAACGTTTCCAAATGGTAACATTAAAAAGATGAACAAAATCACTGGAAGTGAGAAATACATTTACATAAATGGCGATGTAGAAGAAATTACTCGTGATGGTACGGTAAAGTACTATTTCTCTAAAAGTCGAATTTGGCAAACAACTCTTCCAGATGGTTTGGAAATCGTGGACTTTCCTGATGGTAAGATTGAAAAGAGGCACGTGGACGGTACAGTCGAAATAGTTTATTCAAATAACAATAAGAAAATATCTTACCCTAATGGATCTCAAGAGATTATGTACACAGACGGAACTCGACTTAGAATCGAAGCTGACAAAACTCAAATATTGACTCTTCCAAACGGGCAGAAAGAAATACACACTGCTGAATGGAAACGGAGAGAATACCCAGATGGAACTATGAAAACTTTGTTTCCAGATGGAACCACAGAAACTGTCTACTCAAATGGTAGAGTTCGGTTGAAAGACAAATATGGGAATTTAGTCATGGACTCTGGCTCACCATCCCATGGATTTACTCAGTGATCAAATCACTTTGAAAATTGCCTTAATTATTCCACCTTGCTTAGTTGTTGAGTTGTAAGAGTAATTGTGACAATGAAATGCTGTATTTTAATTTTAACATTTTAGAAATAATTTTGTTTAGCCAAAGATTCTTCTATAATGTTGCTATGTTAATGTTACAATTTCTTTGTAAATATTATAAAACTTATTTTGTACTGCTGTAAAAAGTTTTGTAAATGACTATGTTGTATCTAAGTGGTGCAATAAAAACTATTTTTAACTGAACGTTTTGGGTTTTTATCAACAATCATATATTTTAACTTAAGTTTCTAAATAGTGATTTTTTCCATTCTAAAACCACATGGATATTTGTATAGTAACGAACTTAGCGAACCAAAAATAAGTCTACATTTTGACACACTTCATGTTCAAGAATGTGATAAGAATGTCAAAAGCAACACTTTGTCTGCAACTCACGAGCGAACTGTCAGTCAATTTACTGAGACATGTGTCAGTTGCATGTTACTGAATAAAACATCTTAGACGTAATATTTATCATGTAATGTGGCAATTGGCGATGCTATATGTTTTGTTAGATTGATAACTAATAAATTCATTATTTACTTTAAATTACAAACAAGTTTACATTTTTTCCTCTTCAATCCCTCTGAAAGCTATATTAGGACGAAATATCAATGTTTTGTGATACTATTGTGTATCTATTACTCACCAATCTTATTTTCTTAGGTGAGCTAGTTGAACTTGATCCCTCATCAAAACAATTTCCAAGCAATCACTTGGCTTTCATTAAATTTCAACATCACAATAGTGTTTATTTGTTCAGTAATACATTCATACTTTAAAGACTTTTTATTGTTGATACTTGTATATTTATTTGTAGAACAGAGGGTATGAATTGATGGAACCATTCTGGCATTTGCCTTAGTGAGGGAATAAACCGTACTTCTCTCAGAATGGTCAACCTGATAGACCTCCCGAATGTGAAGCAGCGTTGCTACCTCGGTCAAATTAGTATTAGTACATGAAATACTTTATTACTATACAAGCACAAAAGATACCATACTTAAATACGAGATACATGAGATACTTAACACTAGATACATAATACACACATAAACAAGTCTGTTCTAACTTATACTGCTATTACATCTTCAGTCCTTGTCCTCTGTCCCAACTTGACTTTAATCGGCTCACAGTGTTGTTGCAAACTGTTCAGTTTCCTCCTCTTGAAGTTTCGCAGATATTCCATCTCCTCATCCATAGTTGCATTCATCTGATAAATCTCTGAATTTTCCTTATACTTTTTCCCATTGCAGATCCCTTGTCATATTACTCCAAGCAATCCTTTAATCTACACAGTTATGGACGACTGGTAAGCGCCAGCCCCTTAGGGGGAGCCTCCAGTGACATTCCCTCCATTCAGGGTGGGGGGGGTGTTTAGCTCTCAGTGACGCCGTTAATTCCGCCTCTCCTCAACTACCTGTAACTGTGGTTGTGACTGAGTCCTACCTGTTGTGTTCGACTGACATTTTGTGAGGCATATCCTCGACTTTGGAAGTAGCCTCGTCCTGGGAGGTGAAATACCTAGCCCCCAGAGGGGAGGTAAATACTCCGTGTTGGTATCGGCATTTTCAAGTTGGCCACAAACATGGTCGACTGGGCATCGGGTCCCAGTGACATTCCTTTATCCAGGATGGAGGGGTGTTTAGCTCTAGGAGAGATGGAAGTACATCATAATCTCTAACCTACCTGTGTCTGTGGTACTTTGGGCTTCGGCCTGCTTGTGGTGTGCGACCAGCATTCAGTGGGCAAATCCTCGACTTTGGAAGTAACCTTTCCTGGAGGTGAAAACGGGCAAGTACCCGCAGCTCACGGGGACACTCAAGGGCAACGTAACTTTCCGCAGTGTGAGGGCAACGGTTTGTAGGTACTTATGCAAACCTATCCCTGTCTCTGAGCACGGACGGTATGGTTATCTTGAGTGTGGGGGGTTCTTCCCGGAACCTCAATTGAGTCAAGGGTGTCGCCACCTCTGGTGGATAGGTTCATCCGGGTGGGTCCCACTTCTATACCTGCCTCCTTTTGGGAAACCCTGATGGCCTGGCAGTGATGTTGGGTCTGACGGGCAAACGAAGTAGATCGGGTGCTGGGTCCGAGCCCGCCAGGGGTATCTGGGGATCTATCGCTCTGG